TACACTACACTCTTGCGAACATGCCTCTCTGTGGCATGAGTACATCGTTATTCTTAAAATTTGCAGACTTTCGTTATAGCACGAATATAAATGGCGTAGCCGGCAAACAAATTGGTCAGCCGCTCTTGCCGGCTGAGACTTCCAGCCGCGTTGAGGAAGCCCATTAAGGACTTCTGTTCGCTGTCAGCCGAAAGGTCAACCGTTTAGCCGACCGTTTCCAACTATAAGGAGAAGCGATAGGAAGCAGAAAACAGGTTTAACTGCAACCTGTAGGTAATTTCAGAATCCACTCCTCCGTTTCAAATCTCACAATCAAAATTATCTTTTACTAGAATACGCAGCGAGTGTTACATTACCGGAAGCTTGACAGCTAGGACCGTCTGGTCTCTTGGGATTTTGAGTCAATGGCATCGGGAACGTAAGACTACACTACCGTTAATTACACTGTCTCCAGTCCACGAATCTTTACACAAGAACAACAACTACGGATACAAATCTTTCGACTGTGTAGAAGACTATAATTTCCGGATGAAACCCGAAGATTGTTCACTGGTTGCACACAAAAACCATCAGCCGCGCGGTGACCTTATCGAGCAAGAAATGTTAGATATCCGTCCGGTTTTCCCGTCACGCTCTGCCGTACCGGTTGTAACTATGACCGAGAAACCGCCTTTACAATTCAGAAAAATCTATCGACGTCATGAATTGTTCGACTAATAATCTGGTTTAATTCCGGTTAACGTGTAATTTCCTAAGGAGTTTCGCAGAACCCTTTCCTTAATCAAATAAATAATTCGTGCCTGTGTAGTACGAGTATAAATATCATAAATATTGTGGCGTATAAATATTGTGGCGTAAGGTTACGTGAGCAAAATACAAGATTCTACCAACTCTTGCCGAAGACAGTTAGTAAGCACGGTTTCTCTTTCCTAAAGGTCATACCTCATTGTGGCGCGTGTATGCGATCCTGAAGGGCATTCCTGTACGCCATAAAACCTTTACTGTACAAAGACCTTCACTGTAGAGATCTATTTTGCTGCTTACAATACCTCCCGCCAATTCGATATTATCTTAGTTTTGTTGATATACCGCAATATAAGTGAGTGAATGCCGAAAACGGAATGAACCATGTCGAACCTAACGGTTATTATCAACGCAACACTCAATCAGCAGGATCGCCTCCAGTTAATCGTCAACTATGTCCTGATGGCGTTGACCCCGCTTGGAACTGCCTACGTGCTGTTAATTCTCACCGTATTCCTGAAACACAAACAACTGATCACGCCGTTCAATATTTATTTAATCAACATACTGCTATCACAGGCTTTTGCCTTTTCACTGAAAATCGTGACTTCATTGAACCTGGTAATCACTGGCCAAGGGATCGAAAGCGGACGGTTCTGGTGTGCCGTTAAGCTGCTTAGTCAGCAGATCACTGACCCTATGGGTATTAATGGCCACTATATGATGGCGGCCAGCCGGGTGTGGGCCGTGACCTTTCCCATCTCTTACCGGACGCATCATACGAAGCGCTTTGCAGTGATTGGATCCATTATCATTCATCTCCTGCTGTTGGCTACGCGCGGCCCGGATTTCATTTTCACTATCACGGGACCTCCTGGAGAAAACGGTAAACAATGTTCAATTCGCCGGTCCATTGCTCCTGAATTTTCGGCTGTTGTGCGCTACTTGACGACCTCTAGTCTGGTAGTGTTGTTTGCCTCGGTACCGTTTGTTTTGATCATGCGATCGAGACAGGCACACGTCGTTCGCTCTGCGCCAGGTAATATTACCAAATTTCAACAAAAGCAACGCAGATCTGAGTATGGCACTGTAAACAGAGGGATGTGGATTGTCAGCGAGGTTGTCCGGCGGGACAGTTAAAGCGTATCTATCTGACAGCACGGCAGCATCGGCCGTTCGGTCGAAAAATCCGGCACTGTCGGATTTCGACCAAAAGACCGATGCTGCTGTGCGAACAGCGATCGATTGAAACTTTTCCTGTGCCGTTCGCCACAATTAGATTCTGCCAGGACTATTTTAGATAAAAAAATGTTTAGCTTGCGCAAATTATTAGCAACCCCAAATTTAACTTGGAAGCTATGTAATTCGCGTATAGCGTGATTGTGCATTGCTATCTGTTGTTGTTGTGGTAGACATGAATTCCGACATGCGGCGGCTACTGTAAAAATCTTGATATACACGCTGAACTTCAGTACTGCTACAATGGGTAGCGCAAACAATGCCAGGGTCGACCTTTATGCTGATCTGCGGCAGGAAGATGGATCTGCATCAGTCTTCCTGTCATGCGGTGATGATAATGCAAAGAGGGTCTACAGAAATCCTCTGACTTTTAGATTTAGCAACAACCAGCTGGAGAAATTGTGCGAGAATAATTACGTATATGATATTTGCAGATCCGAACGCTACCGTTACACAGAAGTGGTGGAAAGGCAATAACAGTATCTATATCGGATCAACGATCATCGACTTCTTTGCGTGGGGGTTTGTAGTTTTGATCATGGCTCGTTTTCCTCATTTGAGGCTGCTGGATGAAATCAGTCGAATAATTGGCTTGCTGAACTGTCTCTTGGAAGCCACCGTATTCGTACGCTGCGCTCCCATGGCTTGGGGTATTTTCTTGACCCAACTGGGCGTCAGACGTACTGCTCTGCGTATTCCGCCCGCTAATCTGCCTATGCGCACCAGAAACATACCTCCAGGAAGCGCTGTGAATGGTGCAGGTTGAAGTCTGTCATGGGTTAAACGGTCGTGATCACCTTAAATTCACTCTGTTAATTTTATTGCATTAAAATCCGTAGTGCAGCCACCCTAAGCTCTGACGCTGAATGCGGTAAAAACTGGCAGCTTGCGCGCGGCACGAGTGCAAATACGTATCGTAGAAACGCTGCCCAGCGCTTTTCTTGAAAACTTTCCGCAGAAATGTGCAGTGACTCTAGTGATGAGAAATCTTCATTGCATGTACCGTAAGTCCGTAACAGAAATGAACACAAATCGAAAAACAAACATAATTAACCATAAAAATCAGCATCGATTAGAAATTTTGAGATTATGTGTTTCACAGTCGCACAGGGTGGAGATGTAATAGAATTATAATTCATTCGTCTGACAACGCTTGTTCTGTAGTTCCTAAATACAAAAAGTTATATTGGATCAAAACAAAATCTGTTTCGTCTACCGAGCCAATTTACGTACTTGTAAAGGTACTCTATGTTTTGCAAAAATGCTAAAGTTTTCATGTGCTTAATATGGTGCTGAACAGCGGCGCGCTTATTCGGAAGCTTGCGTATGCGAGCACGCAAATTGAGCTGCTGATCACAGTAGCGGTAAGTTGACGGTAACAGTGTAAACATGCAACGGATGGAAGTGACGATGGACGCCGCTGTTTCATATGGGTCAGTACAAAGAAACCAATTAGCGTAAACGTTTCGATTTTGAAGATAAGCCCTTTATCCGGACAGAATTCTACAGATGCCGGTATGGCGTTGCCGTTAAAGAATTACCGCGAAGGTCTTATACAGTTGCGGTTTGCGCTGCTAAAAGTCTGTTTTCCTGGCCGACCTTGCTCAGGCAATTAAGATAGTGTGTGCTCGAAATGTACTGTATCCGATGGAAACTTTCGGAAATATTAGCACTAATGATTCCTGCGCGTGCGCACCCATTCAGGATCCTGCTAGGACGGTGTTGTTAGCCTTGATTCTTGTCGGATGACGTTACTTCCGACTCGCCCACTGATTTCCGCTCAGATGGATATCTCTGGTTGTCTTTACGAAGGTCGCCGCAAACATACACACACCAGTATCCGGATATCGACACAAGCTTTATTCAGACCTTATTCGCTAATTCACGTACGCGTACCGATCGACCGATTCTGCCCCAGGATCAGGTGCAAACCAACACGGGATTTCTCCTAGTCACTCACTTGACATAGGACAACTGCACAGTCGAACAGACTCGTGTCGAAGCTCATACACATTAATCTAGTAAAACGATAGTCGTACTGTCCGTAACACATCATACAATGTACGACAAAAAGAGGTTGAACCGATCAGTCGGTCCGCGGTTCAAATAACATCGCAACGACACGCCACCACTAAAACTTGGACGCTTACTCACTACTTTCAGACGCATTGATTGCAGACTTAAGCATTGATTGCAAGCCAAACGGTTATGCGCACAGATCCTATGCTGTGCCTACGAGAAAGCAAAATGGCTAGAATTTGTGCTGTTCGCCATAAACAACCACAGGTTTAGCATCAAAAAGTTTAAAATTTTTTTCTACACCTTTTGATATGCAACTAGTATAGCTGCACTTTGATATTCACGGAGCGCGAGCGTCTGAAAGTAGTGAGTAAGCGTCCAAGTTTTAGTGGTGGCGTGTCGTTGCGAGGTTATTTTGAACCGCGGACCGACTGATCGGTTCAACCTCTTTTTGTCGTACATTGTACCATGCTAATACACTGCAGCTTTAAGGTACGCTTTGTACGAGTATAGATATATGTTTTTTTTGCGGGCTGTTCATTCCTTAATGCCCTATATGTACAGTACTGATATGTAGGATATGTAGGATATTGAAATCTTAACTGAATCGAAGTTTTAGTATGACTGAATGTTGTGGCTGTCTGATAAAATATTTGGAAAAGCAATATGATCCTGTAGTGACTAAATATAAATTTTTCAAAAAGTGAACACACTTGGCTGAATAACCCTCTGTACTATGTATGAGCGACATAGTACGAATGTGTAGCCGATTCAAAGAAACTAGTTTTGCTGTAACTCAAATATCAGTTAATACCAGAGTGTACGTCCAATTGGCTTAACTTTACACTGTAGATACAATCGTATTATTTTTTTTTGTGTATGCAGTCCATACAACGCTTTCCACTGCAGCCAGTAGCTGTGTGTATCTTTGAAAATGTGCGCTAGACACTTACAGAGCGTGATTTGAATTAGCAGATCAAAAGTCTTCTTACTACTTGCCTACCACTTTTTGTTTGCATGCTTGTAATCTCGATCGGTGCCTCGTAAGTTCTCAAAGGCATACGAGATTCTTCGGCACGTCGCACGAAGCAAGTAAGAATTGTTATTACATGTGACTCAATTTATTTTGATGCGGCTAAGAATAAGAAATTGAACAACTGCCAGTACGCCATGCCGCGATCCGTGGAATTTAACAGCCTGCTGGGGACCATGCCAATCGGGTTGTCAGCGTGGCTTCTGTTGAGTTTAGCTGGTGCCATGTGCGAATCGACCTGTGACCAGTTGCATGGGCAGTTTGCGGCTAACAATAATGCGGTCGCTGCTGCTCATAACGCGATCACCGACATAGACTGGCCTCTTACTGATGATCTGGAACGTGAAAAGGCGTACCTGGCTGGAAACATTTGTCGGTAATCAAGTTGTTTCTTATATTTTTTTCTAACTTGCCTACATTTGCTGTGTATTCTAGTATCTCTATGTATAATTTGTTTAACCCATGAACATTCCAGCAACTCAAGCACGGCGGCACAACACTTGACAGACTTTGCCCGTCTTTGCACAAATGATGAGAGGAACGAGTTAATGTCCTTGAAGTACGGATGGACGTACGTTGCATCCTTTGGTGCTCTGACACGATTGTCGACCTATCGACACAACCTCTCCGCTTCCTAAAGGCCGTAGATTATTGCGAATGGAAACTACGATCGGTGGGGTTATAGTGGATGGCTGGTGTTGCGCCCTACGCATTCAACATAACCACTGCTGCGGAAGCGAAAGAGCATACGTGCAAGTACGTGCGCAACGAATGGAGTGCAGCCTAGTTGTATTTTCAAATCTGTTTGCACTGTAGTATTCTTCAGCGGATTCTGGAGCGCCTAAGCGACTTCGCTTACAGATCCCAAATGACCGTCGCGTGTGGCGTGAATGCCGTTATTACTATCAAGGAGACCTATAAGTTGCTGCATACCAGCATCTGCCAATTAATGATTTAGCGGCCTCTGGTATAATTGCGTTTTCGTTACAAATAAATATGGCATAACTTGCATAACATAATAACGTACGCGTTCAACGCGTACGGCTGATCCTTGGCTTTTTGTTCAGATGCCGTCTGCAATAAAAAGCTTCGTAGCAGTAGTTATCGGTTCTTCGGTTGCTTCAGAAATCAGTCAGCTTGAGAAAATATACACATAATACAAATCCGATTTTCTTAGTACAGAAACTTATTAAAAATTCACTAAGTTGTTTCCGATATTTATAGTATCGGATTCGACGTGTGTCTCGTTTATCTTGCGGTTCTCGTCATGTCTTGTCAGCTGAATGAATCTATTCATTTCTGCTACTGGGAACCGCGTTTTTTTAACATTTACGGTCAATGCTAAGTTGTTCATGTTTGTTTATTATTAAAGTTTTTGTTTATTGCCAGGTTTATGTTAATTTCAGCTGAGTCACTCTGTACAGTACACGCTACGAGTACATATATAGGATTTCTCACTATTAAGCCAACTGTCTACTTGGTATAACACGAGACTGCGGCGTGCTTATTCGGAGGCATACTGTGCCTATCCCGGCACGCTGCTGCAGCTGCTGGTCTCAGCTTGAACGTCATGTGCAGAAAAGGGAAGTGACGGTGGACGCGATTATTTCACATAATTCTGAAAAAGGAACCGATTAGCGTAGACATTGAAATCTTGGAAATGAATTTATTTCCGGAGAGAAAACGTGCCAAATCGAACCAAAAGGATTGCGACTATTTGTCCTCGGAGAAATGTCGACGTGCCACACTAGGTGATTGCACTGGCTGTGAAGGTCTCTCTATACGTACTAGTAACTTTGACACTACAGAGAATGATTCTGATTTTGGAATTATTTAGTTACAAGATTCCCTTAGGATCCTTTTCCGCCGTTCGTGTTCTTTTTCAAAATGTTTGCACTTTTCAGACGGTCGAACGAATTCATTTAGGGCGAACGACCGCCTGCCGACGCTACTACAAACATTGCTAGATGGTCGGAGGTATCCCAAATGCAGTACCGTCCACATGTGGACGCACATGTTTCGGTAAATAAGCATATAACTTTATCAATCCCAATGTCTTATTTTGATTCATGGTTTTTACAGCATTAACCGGCACTACTGCTTTGAAATTACATTTTAAAGTATAATCAAAACAGTTAACTACGTCTGGTTATCAGGGAATTTACCTCGTGATAAATTGCCCATAACTGCCGGCGCATTACCGCGAACAACGACACTGCCGAAGATCTACAGATATATGTAGTCCTTGCACTACTTTCCATTGGACCCTTCGACTGATCGAATCTCCGAAAATCTCGTTAGGCAGCTTTGCAGTTGGATTTTACTTAACTGATAGAGCGTTCTTTAACAGCTTGTCGACCAATTTTGTTATAGTGATTGAAATCTTTCTCGGTGCCTCCGACCATCGTTCTCGAAGGTATTTAGTAAATGCATGGTCATATCGCACGCGTACGTTAAAAATTATTATCAGATGTCACTCAACTGAATGAGTTTTGAACTGGAACTAGAATTTGTTGCTGCTAACAAAATCAAGAAATACACGGCTACTAATGAGCCATACCCGGGTCACTTATATTTAGCAGCCTGCTGGGGACCATGGCCATCGGGTTGGCAACGTGGCTTCTTTTGGTTTCAGCTGGTGTCATGTGTGAATCGACCTGTGATCAACTGTATGAGCAGTACTGTATGGGATTTCTGAAAATGCGGTCTTTCGTGCTCATGATGCGATCACCGACATATAGAGTAGACTGGCCCCCTACGGATAAGCTGGAACGGGAAAAAGGCGTAAACCCCAAGAAAAAAAGGTGCTGACATCAGATTTTCCCAGCGGTTTCTTACTCCAACATATGCAATAAAAAACATTACAACATGGAAATACATATTGCGTTTTACCGATAAAAAGTTGGTTCATTATAACTTTATAAGTCAGTTAGTTATTTCCTACTGTAGTCTGCACTCTGACGAAGTACTAGGTTGATTTCAAAATTAGTAATTCTACGAGTACAGATAGGACGAATTATTCGTAACGGATTACAGTTGTACTGTACTTAATGGTCCGTATTGTACGTGTGCTAAAGTGTGTACACTACATCGTCCGACGTCGAAATCGTCCGCTGAATAGTTTTTGATAAAACCTACAAACGCTCCTTTTCTCGCACTGAAAAAATGATTTTATGATGCAAATGTGGGCCATTATGAGGTTAAACTGTATTTGAAAATGACGATTGAAAATGACCATAAAATCGGGTGATTATAAACAGTTTCCTGGCCGCCCGAAAAGCTTCGTCGAACCAACCCGGAGGTCGGAATTTTTCGCCTGAAAAGGTAAACAAGGCGGTAAAGGCAAAGGTAAAGGGCAAGTTGAAAAAGGCAAAGTGTAAAGGCAAAGACAAAAAGCGGGCAAAGGTAAAGTAGGCCGACCGGAAAATTAAGGATACAATTGTATCCTTAATTTTTGGGTCGGCCTACTTTACCTTGCCCGCCGTTTGCCCTTTGGCAAACATCTGTACATTGAAGGAGTACTGGCTATTGCAAAAGCCAGTATTCCTTCAATGTATGCGGATGTTTACCGAGAATGTACCGGTTGCTGATAAAGTTTCTCAGATCGAACTGCTATTCAGCGATCCAAGGGAGCGCCCGGCTGACTTGGTGTAAGGCCCATGTAAGGTCACCCATGCCGCATGTGAAGACTATAATACCGGAGCAGTTTATTACACACCATTACTATTACACCTCCCATACTGCTTGCTTCCATGAAACCCAAAACAGATCCATCATTTTGAAATTACTCGCCACGATCTAAGTTCTGGTTAAATTAGATTGCCACCCTCAATCAAATCCATAAGTGACTCCAAACCGAGCCGAACCGAATTTAACCGAAACGTTTTGGTGGCTTTGTTAACGTTCTAGGACGAAATTTAGCACGTATAGAAAAGAGCTGTTTGGCCATTACCGCCATTTTGATTTTTATATGATCATTTTTGACCATTACAGCCTTGCTGAGTGTTTCGTGAGTATTTTTAGCCAAAATTTCAGGTTTTCGACTCGTTTCATAGAAACTGTTCAGTTTTACCCGGCATTTTACGCAAAAAGGAGCTAGAAAGGTTGTGATCTTGCAATCGTTATTTTCGATTCGACTTTAACTTTAACCGATTCGTACGGTGTGCTTGAACGAAAAATTCTTACTCGAAAATCGGGGAACCAAATAATTGGCAAAAGCAATTTTCGGTACAAAAAACTGGTAAAATCAATTTTTGGTACGGAGTACCGTAACTGTTTTAGCATACATAATGGCTATATGGCGGTGTCACATCTACCGTCACGAACTGTTTTAACACTCAGGCATGCATAGGTTATACTGTTATAGTAAGGGTGACCCTGGTTCGTTGTTTGGCACATACACCAGCTAAACGCTTTCCTTGTTTTAACTGAGCTGTTATGCCTTGTCAGAAATAAAAGCTCTAGCGTCAAAAGCAACGCTTCTCGTACAAATTTTCCTAGTAAACCAACATTATCGTTTGTACGCGTTTGTCTCGCTAGAAACTTGGATAAATTACCGCTACAGCTTTTGCAGAATTTTGACGCGCTGTCACCATAGCGGCTCGGTGATGATGGATCGGTGATAGATGGTCTTTAAGCCCGTTAAAACCATCTTAACATCAGCTGCTGAGAGATGCCGGGATGCGGCCAGGCATGCGCACAACCTCAAGCATGAGCATTCCGGGACATGCATAACTATGTAAACTCTTGATGCAACATAAATCTAAAAATATCTAACAGAATGTCAACTTAAAATTTGACGAGGGTTGCCTGTTCCAGCAGCAACACATACTGCATTCTACAGCCATCCCCCACAAGCGACTGCGCCGTCTAGACTTATCCTCCGCCAGAGCAGTATATTCTGGGAGAATTGGTTTACAACAGCAGCACTCATATTACCAGTATCCATATAATTTTCTTAGTATCCTTTACTGTTAACAGTGTGACCGGGCAGGTGTTGTTGTGGGACTCTTGGAGGAATGCGGTGGATTGCGGTGATAACGCTGGCATGCCTGGGTAGGTACGAAGTAAACTGAATCTTAAATAATTTTTTTATGGTTATCTAAATTGATCATCAACAAATTAATAGTAACAAAAACCTTAATTATGGAGGAAGCGGGCTAATTACTTAAAAATTTATGGTAATACTGACTGAACGAAATTTCTGCTGTTTCTACAATATATTGCTACAGATTTTGGCAAATTACGTTCTCTGATTTATATGCCGGCTGTATACATGTAATCTTGTTATTTAAAATTTGCATGTGACGCTACGTCCACGCAGCTGCATGACGTTGTTGCGTAATCGTTGTGTAACCTGGTATTGTTTACGCTCGCCGGGTTTTGTTTCTGCCGCTGAAATTATCTGTTTTGGCATTGTTTACCTTTTTGTCTGTGTCGTACGGGCTACTGATGATGTATATATATGTGTTGTTCGGTTAACTTGTACTCTAGCAATTCTATAAGAAATTATGCAATTTTGATTAATTGAAAAACTATTAACAGTCATGTTTAGCCAAAAGCTTTGACAGAAATTTTGTATTTGTCTAAAGATTACCTCCACAATTTTTATCAACATCAATTTGGATCATACGAAATTGATAGGTGAACGCTCGCTGTACTAAAATCGTATGTTAAAACTATTGCTGTATTTAGCATAGAATAATGCTAAAATTTCTAAATTGTTCATGCTTATGCATTATGCTAAAATACTGTGTTTTCTCCTACGCACGCTTTTCAGCAATATTCTGAATTTTCCCTTCTTGTGATAAAACTTAATTTTTTATACAGCAATAAATTCAGTATTTATTTTCAATTCAAAAGTGTCGTCAGCGTAATGAGCGAACAACGGTTTCGTTGCTGTCTCGGCTTGGCGTTGCAGTGTTCTATTCATAGAGGGATTTTACAGCGCTTCCTACAGTGTATGATAATCCATAATCCATATTGGAAGATAATCCATGTAAAACGGAAACTGGTAGGCAGAAACAAAGCCTGCAGTTGCGTCTGTTAATCGGTTAAAGGAAATCAGTAAAAAAACTAGTCGAACGGGAGAAAGCCCAGCTCGATCTGTTCCCTTTTTAAACGTTTATGTCTCGAGATTCAAAGCAGAGCGTGTACCGTCTCATGTTAACTGGAATGGATTTTTCATTTACGTAGATTATCTGAACGCAAGGAGTTGTCTCTTATTAAAAGTACTGAATAAAGTTCATTCACATCTGCATTATAAGTATTCCTGTGGGTGTATTTAACTGCCGAATGGGTTACTCAACATCTGACGATGTCAAACAAAAAATCAAATTTCCGTAGAAACCGTAATGATTAAACAGTGATTTGTTAAAACAAATGCTGTGTTTATAGGCCTGGGATCCAGTGCCCTGGAGTGTTCCGAGTTCATGCATATTCGTCCGGGTGAAGTGTTCGGGCCAAAAGCCGAAACCTGCGAACCGGGCGAGGTGTGTATGGCACAGTTCACCAAGACAGAAACGAACGGAAAAGGTAAATTTCCTGTAAAATATTTATCGGTTTAGATATTATTGTATTTATTTCATTCGAATTAATGAGGCAGCCCATTTCCGATGAGAACAGATTGACGTTGTCACATTGCTTAAATATTCGTAGATTACGTACAGGCCGGGTGCTTATTTTTTTTTCATGTACATCGTACAGGTATTCAGGTATTACTAAGCAGTAAGCAGCCACTACACTAACAATTATCGCAATGATAAATTTATTTCTACGCGGTGAATTATTACGATAAAGGATTTCGGTTAATAAATCCTTCGATGTTCCGATAAAATTATTATGTTCTTACGATATCAATAAATGATATGCATGAGCCATGCCAAATGCATATAAGGGTCGTGGCGTGGCGGGCCGTAGTATGAAGCTTAGCGTACCTGAAATCAGAATTTGTCGCTGAACCTTTGCGTAAGAAATAAATCACCGGGCTTATACAAATTGCTCTACCATACGTATACAGGGCTATTGTAGGTATCAGTATTGTGCACTGACTGTGAATGCGTTATCTGGTTGTAGTGGAAGTGCAGCCCCACCGCAACTGCGTGAAGATCAACCCCAAGACCAAGATGGGCTGTTCCATAACCATTAAAGACATCCAGGTGTCCTGCTACTGCGACACGAACGGTTGCAACGCCGAACGGATGTACGGACTGCAGACATTCGACGACGTGATGAACGCAGCGTGCTCTACGACCTTCAGCTGGGTCTCCTTCACGGCCGTCCTCGTCGCCCTGGTCGTGGCCGCTTAATGGCTGACATATGTAGATTTATATCCTGCCTTGTACATTAACCAAAGGCTAAAATGACGCCGCTGTACAGCTTGTATGTTTTGTGATTAATTATCTGTCTTGTGGCTCATGCAGTGCGAAAAACAGAATTTCTACACCGGTACACTGTAGTCGGGGTTTTTTAAATTCTCGGTGTTGGCAGTTAGAAAGTAATTTTCGTGCCGGAGTTTCTCTTCCTTGTAGAATTCTCGATGGCAAAGCACAGTAGAGACGTATCGTATTACGAAATAAATTACAACTTAACTGCATTCCAAAAGTCTGGCTTAGTGGAAACACTCGTGGGGTAATTACTCTGATATTGACGGCTCTTATATTTAATCCGGTCACTGATTTGCTTCAACGATTATCGCAGTACAATCAATCCCTTTATGAAAATCAGTCCAGTTTTCATGGCTGCAAATTTGATACATCCATCGAAATAATATTATTGCGATGGATGTATGAAATTATTTTCAACCATTTTCAACCTTTTAGACATTATTTTCAACCATGTTCTGCAGTGTTGTACTCCTATTAAGCATAGAAACATAATTGACAAACAAACAGTCTGCAGTATTTGTATGTACGTACAGATACATTTATCCGTACAGGACCAATTTTCTTATTAATTAGTAATTCTATCTTTCTTTATGTCACTTTTAGACAGCGGCTGTAAATTTGTAATAAACACTGCCGTGTAACTGTGTTATGCGGTAACATACCGTAAAAGCTTATACAAACGCACACCCCGAAATTAACGCTCCGTGCTGCAAGCGTCCCTTCCTGTGGGCCGAGAAATAACAGAACCCCCCCCCCCCCCCGGAATGATTGCCCGGGACGCCTAATCAGTTGTGGCGCTTCGACTTCTTTTTCTGCTGTCGCCTGTCCGTACAGTCTCAATGTGCGATGTATGGTACGAGTACATCCTACTTGGTAAATGCTAACCGGTAAGTCAGGTGAAGCCGTGCACACTCAATGAATTGTAATCAAATTTTGGTTGCAGTACTGATAACGTCCTTAAATATTACTTTTTAAAGCTGAAATATCATGACTATGAATTCAGTCGAAATGTGAGACGCTACCCCGCGGAATAAGCACCCCTGCGGTGTTAAGCCTTTTCCGAAAGCTCTCGAAAACATATAGCACAGGGCGTTAAATCAGAGTTTACGGTATCTGCCCTGAAGATGTTTGTATTCTTTTGACCTTCTGGAAAAACTACCCGTCGGTTCTCAGCGAACGAACCTGACAGTCCTGGCTGACTGTAAAAGGTGTCCACAAAGAGCACAACTGTACGCCTTTTTCCTGAAATCATGAGATATACTTCAGCACGGCATACACTCTCTACTGTACTACAGCGTCAGATAGTATTTGTACCGTGTAAGTAGTCAGCGAATGTAAAAATACATAGAACTGATAAAAGTATACAAATACTGCACATATACGCAGAATCGTATCTTCATTTTCATATCCCGTATTTTTAAGAACACCGGCCGTACATAATGTTATATCCCATCGCTATAGACTATCAACAGCGCACGACGTTTATCGAATGCTAGAACCAACAGAAAGCCCTTATAAAGAACATAGATGCTTCAATGGAATCATTAAGTGACGTAGTAGGCGTAGTACACACGCCGCGGAGTACACCTTCCACAATGACGCTTATAGAATAATCTTCTTTAACGAATCAGTAGAAAAACCGCTGCTGCCGGCGGATACCAGGGGGCGTTGGGCTGGATTCACCGGGCCTTGCCGGTGGACGTCAACATCTGCATCAGGGATTTATCATTCAGGCAGCCCTCCACGAATTCCTTCTCATCCAGGATACCGTCGCTGTTGGTGTCCATTTTACTGAAGATCTGCTTGGCGCGTTCTTCAGCGCTGTGCGCGTACGGGACGCCGTTGGTGTCGTGTGCCGCTATGGATGCGCTGCTGTTCGTGCCTAACATTTCCTGAATAGCCTGCAATAAGAAAACGGTATATGTCACCATGAATACTGTACATCGAACATGACCACGAAATCACTCCTGATAAAAATTTGGCATTTTATGAACTTTTTCGTGCGCCGAGAAGAAAATGCGTCTCGGAAACGTGCGGCACAGCGCTTTCTTTAAAACTGTATTTTGCCAAAAAATTATACTAAATTATAGTGTTGATAACTTCATTAAATAAAAAAAATTTATTTCAAAAGATTTTTTTAATAGATCCATTTTAAACCAATCATTTTCAGTGAGAAATTTATGAGTTCTAGACTTGCTAGAGAAGCGTTTATACGTTATGTACACTGAAAAAGAAATATTATTATGTTAGGAACTTCCAGTTGTTTCAGCTTATAAAACGAGAAAGGAAAGAAAAAAGGTGTTCTGTTACCTCGAAATGTGCTTCTACCCAAACATCACTTTTAACAAAAAACTATAAAAAAAAGGTGTACTCGAAGATTTATGGCTTTTAGGCATACTTTTATTATTTTGGTCATTTCCGGTAGATCGATGTGCCCGTTGGAATCAATGTCGTACCTACAAAAGAAAAGAGTATACATCGGCCATAACCAGGCAGAAAAGCGGAGCCATAAATCATCCTTCGGATGTGATTGTGCGCCTTATAATGGATTGTCTGGCGCAGTGCGTCTGCTGGCGTCAACCCCATGCGCCTCGGCCGTATATCGGCATTTATCCTGGCGATGACGTCAAAGATCATCGAGGGCACAGGGGAGCCATTGTGTCTGCGAGTGATAGTGCAGCGACTTACATGCGAAACGCCCATTTGAGCTTCTGCTCCGCGGTCCCCGAGGAGGTTACGTTGATTGCGAGGAGGAATTCCTACGATGCAGGAACACATGCCCATAGTTAGTCTTCCGCGTATACAGTCAGGGTAATTGTCGCTCTTGTGTCTCAACGTGCCCGCTGGCGGTCGGACTATTAGCGGAATATAGAGTGTCTACTTGATCGCGCAACGTGAATCAATAAACATACAACCCCGGGAATACTGTGGCAGTCGGTGTATAAATGGGATACGTTCATTAGGGTTTTGATAAAAATAGCCGTGGTGTTGAGATATTAACGCGGAGTGGGAATTGGTTGTTTAGCCGGTGGTGTAAGTTTTATTGCGCTGGTGGTTATTCGAAAAAGCCCGTTACCCGAATTGCTACGTTCACAGAACTTACATCAGATTTTAATTTAATTTTCAGCAACTAAATTAATCCAGCCAAATAAATAAATGTTTCGAAAATTTTAGTATTGTGTCTTAATGCTCTTCACAAGAGTACATTATCATATAATAAAATTATAGTACTTTGTATTTTAATTAATGTCAGGAAGTTTTGTGATACTGTAAATATTTATCATCATTGGCAAATTTCAAATGTAAAATTTTCAAGTAAAAAAACGTAAATTAGAGTAAAAACAACAGTTTGTAAAAGACCTTACGGTAAAATTTTTTTCCGGTTGCGAGCGGTTCCGACTTTGTTAACGTGCCAAAAAAAATAACTGCATTGACCACAAAAAGCGGAAACGATGTGCAGCCGAAAGGCATATACAGTACTGCGTAAGCTGTTAATTGATTTAGGAATTCACAAGTGTTAACGAAAGCAATTAAAAAACCGTATTTCCTGACGAAGCTATATGTATTGACATATTTGTGCGATATTTTCGAGAAATGTTGAAGGATTCATTTAGCACGCAACTTCGCGCGTTTTTCTTGCATATTTTCACGTGAACGCTATTTATTCATAAGCTCAGATACCTGTATTTCTAATCCGGGAATACCTGTGTGACGTGTGTTGCACATGTATTTCTGTACATATTTCCCTGAATAAGCTCAGTCGAATACGAGAAACACGACTAAGCAAAGCGATTAAATATTGTATGTACCGTGGCTTTAGCAGTCGTCCGAGCGCTGACACTGACAGTACTCGGTGGGTGTCGACTGTCGAGGTTAGCCGGCCTCGGCCAGCATATGGATCAGCAGTAATTGCTGGACAAATACACAACACGATCACATTGCACCGGCTATCCGGTATCACTGCATTAAGTGCACAAACAAAGTACGACCGATCCGAAAACATGACGGACGGTGATGTTGCGGTTTCCGCTATTTATCTGACACTTTCGATCAAGCTGTTTGAAAAAATGTAAGATCCTACCGCCGCTTCTCGACGTACAGATAGTGACATAAGGTTTAATTCCTTAATTCGAAATAAAACCGATGATTGGTTTAAATCGTAATTCGTAGTAAGATGGCTTTTGAGACAATGTTGTTAAAGAAGAAAAAAAAACAGTAACGAAATAGCAAAATTAAAGTATCCAACATTAAATATTTTTTCAAGTGTTTTGACACATTATTTGTTTAGATAAAGATCTGCAGCACAATTATAAATTATTTACAGTATTAATTAGCCCTGATTGGGCTATACAGATACGTACTGAATGCATTATTTACATGCAAAAATTTTGTATCATTTTTTGTGCATTTTATGCTTTTTTTAAACATTTTTTCGAGGAAAAAAATACAGTAATAACTGTCAACCCGGAGGAATGCGGATATAAAAAGAAAAGCTAACAAGCGGCTAAATCATGAAGACAAAATTTTCCAGATTTGTTGTACGAGAATTCTGGAATAAATCGTTTTTCTTACAGGCTTAATGTAAGCATATATTCTGTACTTATTTCTTAGTTCTTCCCTGTGTAAGCTGACCGGGGCGGGTGTCACATTACCTTGAAATCGATAAAGCCGCTCTTATCTTGATCGAATGTGCGGAAGACATGCTCGCAGAAGGCCTGCGCATCCCCGCTGGGAAAGAAGACTTTATAGACCTCCACGAATTTGTGCGGAGATAATTTCCCATCGGGACAATCACGATAAAAGCCGGCATGCCATTCCCGGATCGTCGTCTCGTCGAAGGTGGTGTTGTTGCGCAGAAACTCCAGATCGGATTTGGTCAACTTCGGCTTACCGCCCTCTGTCTTACTGTTCTTCCCGCCCATGATCCCGCAGTTGGCTGGTCAACGACCACTACCGACGTGTTCACAACTGGAATGTACAGTCTGGAAGAAAAAGAACAAAATAAATTTTTCAAAAAATAATTTCAGATTAAATCCATAATAACAAAATATTTCGTCAGTATTTTACAAGCATTATTTCATATGCATACAGTGTATTACTACTGTAAAACTTCCCTACTGCGCATGTATACTTGAAGTATCATTCTAGAATAAATCAAGTTACATCAGTTTAGCAAATTTAGTGCAGAATTTGCTGGACTTTTATTTTTTTTAACAATGTCGACGCTCAGGAACAACAAGCATCAAATACTGCTAAAAATTATCGAATACAACAAAAAATGCAGTACTATTTCTGTTATCGGGATTTACTAAATAATTTAAATTTTGCTCAATATAAACAAAAAGTAAAAAACATTGCAAAAATTACACCAATTTTTTTAAAAATATTTAAATTGTATTAATACATGGGAATTTCAACAACCCCGCTTTGCTTGGTTTCGTGAATAGGTCATAGAATATTTTCACAATAAAGTCCCTCCAACAGAGGAAATAACGCTTATTAATATTTCTGTTGTGATTTTACGGTCGCTGCGTTGTAGATCGTCGGAATAACGTTTGTGCTGTTACTTCATTCAGATGCAATAAAATTGTTTTTATTACAGCAAACGGAGCTCCAGCGGCATTCAACGTGAATGCCAAACTTCAACACACACAGCTTGCCTGTCTCTACAAAACACCGGCTGAAACATAAATCCATCCAAAACGATTATAAAATGCTTATTCAGCCATTTTTGCCGGGGTGTCTATATACACAGAATCGTCACGGTTCACGGTAGCATCTGTGACGAAATATCAGCACCATGATAACACCATGCACCCGCCGAACGGGAATACCCTTCGGGCGTCAGCACGCCGGGAGAAATTCCGGTCGTGCGCGGGAAAATGAGGGTTGCCGGCGTTCGTGTAATTTATTCTCAGGCGCTATCGGCCAGCCTGGTGTTATCATTTTGGCATCTCGGTGGGCGTGCAGCTCACGTGTTGCGCTTATGCGCACTGACGTCCGAGGTCAAGGATAAGTCATTAAAGGGGAATGTCAAAATAGTAATTACATGATCTGTAGCGAAGCGTCATTAGTCACTAGTGTTGTCTTAGGCAAAATGCCTCCTTTTCTGCTTTCCGCAACGTGGATTTACCCGTGGGATTTGTCGAAAACAGTTACGTAGAATTAGATTGTTTTTCTGTGCATGTCTTTTCAACAACAAGATCAATAAAATAAAATCAACACGGAAAAGAAGATTTATATAAATTCAGCTTAAACAGTTCCTGGATAAAGTGTGGAACCAATAACAGTTACAGTAAAAAAATCTTTAAACAAATTATCCCTCTAGGTTGCTGCCACTAGCCCAAGTTTTTTTGCTGCGCAGAAACTGGTGCTTTATAGCAAAGAATAAACATAATTAAGAACGATTAAAAACAAATAAAAAGCTTGAGGAAATGAAAATACATAAATAATACACTAATAATAAATAAAGAGCGCCGGTGCAGTTATGGGTTTTGATATGCTTGTAGATTTCATCCGTTACAGCTTTAACATAATCAACTTCACCATTACTGAAAAAATTAATTTTAAAATACTGAAGTATTTTATTTGATTTAATGTATTGACTGGTTTTTCGATTATAACCAGAACGCAAAAAATATCGCTGCGATGTCGCGTATTGCAGTAACGACCGTATTAATCCAGTGTGAAATCGCCTATTTTCACCAAGCACATTCTGATTGTCCCTGGCCGTTCCCGCTCGATTTAGTTATGGGCCAACAACATCCTGCTAAACTAAACCGATCCATCGGATCTATTTCCGCCCGTCGCAGCCGTAATTCTCCACAATGGCTGTCCTCATCAGCGCACATTATTATACGACATATATCGCACTACAGCCAACCCCGGCTTTCCTACTCAGACATTCCAAGTCTGCGACCCGGTGCGTAATTTATCCGGGAAATTGATTGTCCCCTCTCCGTTCCAATCCGGAGTGGGGCTTCCGCTCGCCGCTCGCGACCGTATCTCTTTCTCATATCCGCTGCAGCGAAACGACGCATGGCTAATCACTCTCGCATCGCTTTAGCCTCGCTGGCGACCATTTATTCCCACGTTGGGCATTGTTGGGAAAATGATCCCGACGCCAGTAAAGACGCTGCGCATCGGGCTTAGCCGAAGAAGAAATGCAAATAGCTTTGACAGGGACATAATTCCGGCCTGATACTTTGCTCGACGGTTATCGGGGTTGAAGTTTCAGCGTTTGTTTTGATACATGCGCCGATAAGGCCGCTGAATCAGGGCCGCTGTCGTCAATTCTAAACAGTTGTGTATTGTGATTTTATCAGCCGTAAAATGTGCACATAATCGCGATTGTTGACTTTTTGTAGACGAGTTTACATTATGCTCGGCAAGAAGTATTACGTGAATCGAATTTCAAATAATAATTTGCATGCCGACGTCATCGTTTTGCCGATATAAAAGTTAACATTTGGCAACGAGTCATGTACAAAATTGTGATTTGTCAATAAATAAATTACGTATATCCTTCTTTTGCTCTGCAAAATATTTTTTCGAAAATGAGGAAAAAATTGGGAAATGATTTTTTTGTTTCGGCAGTATCATACATTGAAATAATGTTTCCAAAATAAATAAAAACAGATTCGGAACATACTAGCTGGTTTATAAAAAGAATCCATTAATAAAAGCAATATATCAAATTGAAATAAATTTTTTTTCAAGACAAAGGGCGGCAAATTGTAGCACGATCGGTTTGATTATTCAATGAAATCCTCAAGATAAATATTGATTAGCAATTTGCGTGGAAACGTTGTGTGTTGCATGTCTACAGCGGTGGAAAGTTGAAAAATCAACATGCCGCGATGGCTGCGTATATACTCATACACTCGTCTATGCAGCATTAAATCCGGGAGAGAAGCGATTTCCATTTGGAGTGTTACAGACCGTTACGGCTTGAAGCATCCTCCATCGGACGCAGCGCCGCGGCAATCTCCGGCGCTAACACAGTTAGCACCACTCATTCCCGGCACGGGACTCGTCAATGCACAATGGCCCGCGTTGTATGGGGCGCTCGACAAAATGTCAACATAATATATTATATAAACGCGATCTGCCAGATTATCCCGGCCCGACGGAAAGCCGGCGTATATATACGAATAAATACACGAGAATTTACTAATTGCAGTGGGTGCACTAGTGTAAATTGGAGGATGCTGTCGGGTTGCGTAATCGGACAAAAATGTGGTGTGATATTTTTAGCGCTGTGAGACATCAAGGCTAATCATTTTCACTGCCGTCGATTAATTGCGCGGAAGCGCTGTATAACGCTGCTATAGGAAATGGTGTTTGACTGCCGAGGAAGAGAGATGAACGCGCGAGATGGTTGTAAGGAAATGGATGCCGGATGGGAGTTTTATATGGCGGTTTTAAAGGAATGCTGCAGCCGGTAGCAATTAGCAGCAAATCGTTCTTGACTGTTACAGCCAGTGAAGCAATTTACACAATTTCCAGCGAATCTCACATAGTTTTCACGGCAGTTATAAATAAGAAATCCCAAAACAACTAAGAAAAAGCCAAATATTCATTAATTTAATTAAGAGCAACCAAACAAATTCTAATAAAGTTTAAAAAATTTTTTAAAGTTTAGATAACCTTTAATTTGAAGAAAAGCGCCATCATTATATAAACGGAAAATATTCGTTTTGCTGACCGTTGCTCAAAGATTTGAAGGTAAAATCCCTATCACAAAATTTTGGGGTTAAACAAATTTTCGAAAACAGATGAGCAAGAAAATTCAAATATTTTGTAAGGCCAGTGTTATGAACAGCTGGTTTGTAATATTTATTATTTATATAGAAATGGAGATCCGACAAATTCATCATAACGTTTTAGAGGAAAGTAATAATTGTTATAGGTCATCAGTTTTCTGTGAATTAAAGGCATTCAAAGCCATTTATTTCTGCCATTCCGTTATGTAAAACGTGGTCAAAATCCATTATTCCGTCATATCGATTTTATCCGCGCGGATATTGCTAATAAAGGTAGGAATATTAGCACTTGATCTGTTTGTTAAGCTGCCTCCTCCAGCGGCACTCGGACGTCAACACTGAAAAGGTTAATTCAACGGAATGATGCCACGATAGGATATAAGCACCGGTGCGTCAATAATTAATTAGCTTAATTCGCCCGCGCCAGATTATCACGGCAACCGGCGCGCACGCATTCGCTATGCAAATTAATTTTCCGAACCGGCCAGAGCCAATTTTATCGGGAGAGCTTATACAAGGGGAGAAAAAAGTCCATAATCTACAGCAAAGTTGTACCAACTGTGTGTTCGGTGCCCGGGTGTATGTATTGATTGGCCGGCGTTATTCCCAGCGGCATGATCAGCCGTTTTATCTGGCATTTTATCAATACTTTCCATTATGCTGCAACTCTGCAACCTACACTATCCGTTGACAAACGAGAAATTTTCAAGCGTAAATCTGGTGTTACAACTTACGAGTTTCGCCTCAAGAAACGTTTCTTCGTGCGGTGAAATTCGCAGGAATGGCGAAAAAATAATGAACGACGAACCGTTTTCCAGAAATGTATTCGCGATAAATAAACGCGGTTTTTCAATTCATTTGAGAACCGCATATGCCGTACTTGGGAATGGTTTGAATAAATGCTATTTACTCACATGAAAGTCTAACTTTTCTCGTGTGATGATTTACAGTCAATATAAACGGCAATAAACTATTCACAAATAACCGTACTTTATTTTTAAATACATGAACCTAATTTAATTGCAAAATTTATCAGAGTAATTACTGGAAGTCTAGCGAAATGTTTGCAATTATTCTGAAAATGAAAGTGTCCTGTTAATGTAGTCCAATTTACAGCTTCTTAGATGATGTCTAGAAAATAAAATAAAATAGGGAAACATAGGCTGCAAAAAATTTGCTTCTTAAAAAAGAACTTTTTGCGAGCAACATAAAAACGCAATAAAGTGGTTGCAAGAACTCGTTAACTGCATTATAAAACGGATCACTGCTTAACGGATCATAAACCCGCTACAATAAATCTCTACAAGAAAAACTCCGTTAATTAGACAGCGTCTTATCATACCTCCGTCTGTCTCGCTGCAGCTCTCGCAGACACACACGGGGGAGGTTAAGCACGTCGGATCCAAAAATAATCCACAGCACACGCAGCCGGATAGCTAAACACTTGTCCTTATCTTCGCCGGGTTATCTCTTCTTCAACTGGCGTTTCCCGGGACAAAAGTCACCCGTGTTAAATCAACACTCACCAAGCGAGGAACATCAACGTGAAGAACACATACAAAAATATATTTTAACAAGCGTCCAAGTATAGCAGAAAATGTGTGCATGTGTGCCCAACAGCCATAAACAACTTGAACACACGGCAGCGGCGCGGTAGTGGGCCGGAAATCACAGGTGAAAGTTGATCAGCGGCTTTTGTTATTTAACATAGAATGGATGACGCACAATGTTATAATGCGGTGTGTATTGAATGGAAGAGAAGGTATACCAGCTTACAGCAGCAGCTGACAGCGTGAGCGGTTGAGTGAGCCAGCTGTATTAGTGTATAGTGATACGGAGATAGATATTTCTCCGGCAGTGTGATACTTTTCTGTGTTGTGTGTTGCGTGGATAGCCGGTTGGCGTGTATATGCGCCGGTAACGCCTTCCGGTCCAACACAGTGGTCTATAGCGGAATTATAGGCTCGGCTGTGGCGCGTTAGCGTATTTCCGCTGCTGTGCCGGGGACGTGTAGCTGTACAGTAGGATTTATGGCTTGTTTCCGGTGCAGTGGGGGCGTGAGAACTTTCGGGCAGTGTGTTTATACACGAGAACACAGTGGTTTTCACATAAATCAAGGCCGGCTGTCAGGATGGGTTTTATCTATTTTAAGTGCTGACAAATAAAGGAACATATTGTGGAGGAAATACAGCCTAGCTGCCAAATATTACAAAGACAATTACTATTAATAATTTTTTGTTAATGTATCTCATAATAATCATTGTATGTTGGGTAGACCTAATATAATCCGTTGAATTACACCGCTACCGGTGATTAAATACAGTTTACAACAAATATTTACGATCATGTTTGGTGATGTACAGGTAATACTTGCAATGGAATACCTTATGTTTTTTCGGTTCGTTTTACGTATTTGTTAACATAAACCACCAACACTTAAGCAAACAATTAGCTTGGGGGAAAACGTTTTTTATTTCTGGGCTTCATTATGCAGTCCGCATAACGAAATACATAAAATACACTAGCACTTCTTAAATACACTAAAAGTTCACGTTGTGTAATGTAACAAGACGTGGTATATACTGTATTTTTTGTGTACGGCTGTACGTACGGATAATAGTACCGATACATCTACAGTATTTTCTCTTCTTACCGCGGCATGCATTACAATATGTATTAATTTTGGTGGTACTACTTGGTAGCCATTCTCGGTGGCCGGTACTACGTGTAATGGATGCCAAACGGTAGCGAATTGTATCAGTATTATTGTATCAGTATTATTAAAAAAGATTTGTTATCTTTTTGGCTAGCTTTTTATGTTCAATGTACCTAATCCTTGGATGCGCTCATTAAGAGCTGGGTGTAGCATGGATTTTATTGTTAATCTCGCAACATAAGTGTATTATGGTACTAATTAGTACCATAATATACGTATTAGTATTTAGTATTAGTATTTGTATTTGTACATAATCGATATTATAATACCGATTACGTACAATTGTACATCGATACATGGGTACATACAGCGACCAGTTAAATTCAATTCTTCTAGAAAAACTACGCTTTACTAAACTATATATCAACAATCGTGTGTCAATCAGTTTTATAGGTCCCATTTTATTAAAAATATTGTCCTTTCTCTAACTGCCGCACTGGTATCTGCGCAAGACTGACCACAATGACCAGCCCAAATAATTTGTGCCTGCAAAACGTTTCATCGGTACTTCGACCCTTGAAATTTTAGTGCTTAATAATTTAGCATAGACCAATCCAGAGTGTAAACTACGCGTTGGGCTTCGTGCAGCCATCGGCGGGTTCATCCGTCCCATCCAGGCAATCCTGCTCGCCGTCGCATAGCCACGACCGCGGGATGCAGCGCCGTTTATCACAAGGGAACTCGTTAGTGAAGCAGGATCCGCAGTCGGTCTCATCCTTCCCATCCTTACAATCCCGCTCCCCGTCACAATGCCAGGTTTTCGGGTAACAGGTTGCATCACAGACACGATACCCTTGCGCACAGGTCGGCTGGTCCAGCGCGCTGGGGATGGATTCCGTTAAAGGGAAAAAACCGCCGCGTTCATCGTGTTCCGTCGGCTTCATCAGTACCGTGCGGATAGTCAGACAACAAAGTAGAACAACTAGAAGAAATCCAGGAAGTGATAATTGCGTCATTATGTAAAATTTGTAATGTGCTTTATGTAATGTCAGTACTGAGTCCTGGATAATGCACAGCGCGAATGAACTGATTTGGTTCGTAAACAATTAAGCGCAGTCCATGTGCGGTAAATATTATGTGTACATGTTGGGAATGTCAAGGCCGCGATGCCGTGCGTGGAATATTTTGATTTTATCTGGAAGGTTTTCAGAAGTGTATGTATATGTCACGTTGTCTGATTGCGACGGAAGATAAGCACAATGTTGTTCATAAGCACAATGTTGTTCATTCGTTGTTCATGTTCAATGTTGTTCATCATCGTTGTCCGCGCGTTATTGATCCCTAATAGTGCGATCTTCTCCGTGGATTACGTAAGGTTCAGCGGGTTTTCTTTAACTGATTGAGTCTGATTCCATCGCTTATATAGAATGTAGATACAATATGCAGTATAAAACAATCGTAATTCAGCATGTGTAGAGCGCATCAATCATAAAAACGGGAAAATGTAGCAATGAACATCTGCATTCGGAGTGACACAGTCCGCGTGGAACGTTCTATGAACGTGGTACGCTATCGACGGAACGCGAAAACCTAGGTAGAGGCACAAAACTGGATAGAAACGGAGCGAATTGAAGAGGTCGCGCTGCGCCGAATTGTAGTGGTGCTGGCGCAAAGCGCGTTTCTTGCTTTTGAAACTGGCCACCGCTCGGGCTGTCCAGGGAGAATGGAAGCTGGAAGGTTTTGATAACCGGCGTGTTACCTGCAACAATAAACACCATGGAACTGTTCCATTGCAATATTACATAATTTATTAGCAATATGAAAAGGCTGACTTAAATTACTGCTGTACTAGCAATTGGATTAGCCGATAAGAACACCGAATGACGCAGTAAGTACTAAGAACTGCAAACTACAGACTACTGTTACTAGCACTACTATTACTAGTACTACTAGCACTACTAAATTTCAAACGCAAAGTGTGCTTCGGTGTTGCACAAAGCGCTCTCTTTTTGGAATGGCCAAACCGTTTTACGTACGATTAGCTGGATATATGGTATCGCCAAGAACCACATATTCAGCTAATCCTCCAGAACAGTGGGTGAGCATATTCGTCGATAAGTTTCTGACAATTGTGATTCGTGAGTGATACATCAGCGGCGCCGATTTGTTAACGGAGTCTGCTTTAAAAAATGTGGCTGAATTTGCGCTGAGTAAAAGAGATGCCAGGTGATCGCCAAGAGGAAGTTGCAATACGAACACCATGATACCAATTCTGTCTGCATTGGTATAAAATCGCACGACAGGGTCAGGAGCTGCCGGGTGGGTGAGTCTCACTGGCGTTGCTGCGATTTTGCCCCTGCTACAGAACGAATCAACTGTGTACGGAGTGCTATTTAGCTAGATACCCCTATTTTGCGGCGAATTTCTCAAGGACTTTTTTGGAAAGTCTAAAGTGCGTCACTGCTGAAAATGTGAAATGCGGATTAAGCGCCTAGCAGATCACAATACCCTACCTATCCGGAATATCCAGACTGGGTGGGAAAGTTGGGTCCGGTTTGGAAATAGCCCCGGTTGGGCTGCTGCCCCACGAACCGATTAATACCGAATTGCTGTCCACGACTAAAGCCCCCGTGCATGGGTCGTCGCGGCGGTGGTGGGGGACGTCGGTGGCGACCCCGGTGCGGCCGTTCGTCTTGGTCTTCAGACTCATCGGACCCGCCACCGCCAATCTCGGTGGGTTGATCAGAGTTGGCTACAGTGGTGGTATCGGCGTCGGTTCCTCCTTCCGCTGGTGCATCCGTGCCTTGTGTATCGGTATTCATTAAAGGCAGAGGTGGTAGAGGCGTCGTCGTCGTACTTGTTGTCGTTGTGGTGGTGCTGGTCGTCGTCGTTGTTGTGCTAGTAGTGCGCGCGACGGTAATCGGTTTCTGCGTGGTCTCCACCGTGGCCAACTTCTTCGGGCTTTCCAATGCAGCTAATTTTGGAGGCGCCGCTAAAGCAAAATGACAGCTCAGGATCATATAGAGGATATATGGATGTTATGCCGGCCCCTCCATCCCCGTTTCCCATGTGGTTGCTTTCAAATGGAACAAAGGGTATCGTGCTTTCTTTCTGTCCGATACGCCGTAAAATGAACAACGAGGAAAGTTTCCCAAGCCAACGTAAAATTCGCAAAACGGCATAGAGCTAACGCCTGCCCGGCGATAGAAAAGAAGATTCCAGCAAGCCAAACAACGAAGCGCTGCAATTTCTCTACGCCTCAAAAGGTTTTATAAAGCCGAAAATACGGCGATGCGGTTGGTAGGGCAAATGAAAACCGTATTGGCATTCGCAAACTGAATTTGCTGTGCGCGGTAGGGTTTTGGGTACATTTCGATAAGTGAAACTTCCTGATTATTTACCCGACGCTTCGCGCTATGCCTACGCTTAAGCGCAGCAGTTTGCACGATCGATCGTGCCGAAACGGCAGAACCTCGTATCACGCTTGTGTTTTTGAACGAGTGACGGCGCACCTTTGGTATCGTGGAGGGGCCAGCAGTTTGCAAAGCTAATAACTACTTTTCGTAGAGTTAAATTAATTACGGTAGACCTATATAAACTTATCAAAATTTATGAACGCGGTGTTCGGACCATACATACTGCTGAAGTCAGTTACCTGCTGGTGGCGCTGCCGTCGTTATTGTCCCATCCGGCGACTTGGTGTTCACCGAACCCGCTGACTGCGCGTTGCCCTTCGCATTCCCCGACATGATCACATTGGCTGTGTTGAGCACGGATGCCGAGGCCTCCGCGTTGGGATCATCCACCAAGATGTTGGCCTGGGCGGCCGTCTGTGCGTTGGCCGGTCCCTTGCTGCCCTTTTTGGTCCCGGTCAACGCCCCCGCCTGGGAAGTCGCCGCACCGGTGTTCTGTGATCCCTTGAAGGAGCTGCCTACTTCCCCCAACGGACCATTGATATCAATGGCCACGGACAACGATGTCCCCAAATCCAGTCTGGGATTCTTGGTGTCGATGCGCTGGGCCTGGGCAGTGGAGGTGGACGAGGAGAAGCCGGTATTCTGGTTCATCTTCTTTAGCTCCTCGATGGAGATCTGATGTGGGGCGCTGAAGTTGAGCGGCGTCATGGTATTAAAGGGCTTAAAAGTCAGATCGCGGGACTGCCGTATTAAAAAACCTACAAAATATGAATATTTATCCAATGAATATTTATCATGTGCACATGATAAAATCAGAATAAATAATTATTAAAGACTACTGTAGAATTATATTTGTGCTCTTGGACGGGAGCGTGTCGGGGAAAGTATGTACGACGCACCGGGCAACGGGCGACCCGTTGGCATACGTAATACTCAAGGAAAAACAGTTGGTCGCGGAAATATCGGTCAAGAGAAATGTATTATACGTTTCACTCGCCAAACCCTTTAGGCGATTTACTGCAGTAAGGGCGACCGCCCGGTGCTGCTCTTTGCAAATATTTGGATTAACAGCGCTCGGATATCTTAGTAAAACTGAAAATAACTGAAAACTTGTTGCCTTAGTTTAGCAGATTATCAGAATTTCGATTCCCGATTAAATCTTGTCTTTGAAAGCATTAAACATTTTTTTCCGATTCTCATAAATAAGCCAAAATACAGAGTGTGTCTCACCTGACAAAGAATTCTCAAGTGTATACACATTTCCGGTTTGATGCGTTTCCAGGAGTGGAAGAAATAATGTGAGAGAGATATAATACTGATAATATTTCCATTGGCAAATCATTATGAATAAAATGACAAATAAATCCGGTAAGAAGGCGCCGTTTCAGCGCGTCTGTGTTAATTCAGTAACAATCCACTGGCTGCGGCCGGCGTTAGAAGCAGAGAGAAATGCAATTTCCGGTTCGAAAAATGCGGATGATAAGGATAGAAAAATTGTAATAACAGAGGAGAATTGTGTGCAAAATTTCATGGATCGCTGGCTAATTTTCCACGCGTTATGAGTGCGACAGTGTCTTAGCAGTAAAAGTGCTGAAACATGACGCGTTAAGATCCTGTTCAGCAGGGTACTTTCTTTCGGCCTACGTTCACTGATGTTTGATTCCGCGCCACTGGCAAATTTCTTCGCCGAATGTCAGAATAACTAATGAATATTACTACAAAAACACCCAGACAACTGTTTATGTTCCATAATTATGCGTGACTCACAAGCACGTAGAATTTTATTCCGCCATAAGAAATCATGAAGAATAAAGACTTAATTAAAATAAAAATTGTAACGTAAAGAAATATATTATTTTAGAGCTTGTATAGTTAATTACAGGAAAATTCCCTCTTGGATTTGTTAAAGAATTAAATCGATGCGTCGAAAAGATGGCTAATACAGATACAGTTTGTTGACAATCGGCAATCAACCTTAAATAACGATCACAATCACCAAGTCAGTGAAAGTGTGAAACGCTCGTTTAAGCCGACGATTATGCGGAACCGGAAAAACCGAAGCATGTATGCGCGCGCGCGGTACAATGCCGCCTCCGGTAGTTTCAACACGGAACATGTTCGTACGATACATTCACTTAATTAATAATGCACAGGATGTACTGTACATGCGTTAAATGTTGGTACAATGTAGAAGTGTAAAATGTAGATACTTCATCACATTTTAGCGCCTAATGCGCAAACAACCGCTTTCCTGTTCTCCCCAGTTTTAGCAGTTTATGCGCAAGTGGGACTGATATCGTCGCACAATGTACGCCGATTTTAAATTTGTGACCGGAGATTGACCGACCCGTTCCCCATTTGGCTATACACAGTACACACAACGGCTGTTCGATCTATGGTAACTTTATTAATTACACAAGAAACAACATCAACAACGACTATTCCGCACAAATATCTCGTACGAACCGGCGATTGCATTAATGTTAGTTTTTACTGGGTACATAAATATATTCCACAAAAAAGTCCTGCAACAAAAAAACGAAATCGAAGAACCCCTCAACGCGCTACGCATTTTGGTATCAGTGGCACATATTCTCCCAATAAAATCCCGGACAAAAACGTTAATACAAAACTAAACTCCCACCGTTGACCATTCTCACAACAGGATCCTGCTTAGCACCACCATCACAAGAACACTAAACATGCCCGCCACCGCTGGGCGGGCGGCCGTGCCAGTATCAATGCACACCCGCCAGTTACTCCGCTCGGCCAGTTCCCGGTACGAACCCAGCGCCAGTCCCACGTGGGTAGTGTTATCGTCACCGAAACCGCGCAGATCATACGCCGACGGACTGAAGATGGCGTAGTGGCCGGCGGTATTGAGGGTACTCAGTGGCTGATTGCTGTACTGGGATTGCTGTTGCTGATTCTGCTGCTGTTGATAATTGTTGTTGCTGTTGTAGTACGATGAGGTGCTTTGCTGGTATTGGTTGCTCTGATATTGGTTGTTGTATTGGTTGTTGCCGCTGTTGTATTGGCTACCGCCCGTCTGGCCGGTCTGGCCGTAGAAATTGGAGGTCGAAGAGTAGGTGAGGTAGGAGTCGGTACGGTTGCGTTTGCCGAACATGTGGTAGGTCTTGCGGGCACGGTCCATGGCGCCAGAGCGCAGATCAATGCGGACGTTCTGGAAGTTGTTTATGGTCAGGTCGGCACTGAAGAGACTGCTGGCGGTCAGCAGCATGTCGGTCAAGCGGCGCTTCTCTGCTAGCGGTTTGTACCTGGAGAGATGCAAAGAATATTAATCAATTTGTACCGATTTAATTACTTTGCCGTCATGCAAATTCCGATGCAGCTACAGAAAATGCAAATTTTTATTCGCCCAAAGGCCAGGAGCTGGCCAAATTTGTGCTGAAAATAATGTAAATTTACATTTAATATTTAAATATTTAAATTAATTTAAATTACTTTAATACTTTAAATTACTTTAATATTTAAATTAATTTAAATATTAAAGAACGACTGAAACCAAAAGCGTTACAGTAAAACACTGTTTTCTCAGAATTAATTTAAATCATTATAAATAGCAGTTTAAAATTAAATCGTTTACCGGATTTGCAACTGCCAAAAATATAATACGATTCACCAATTTCCGGTGTAGCTATTTCGGTGCGTTAATTTTGACTCGAAAAACTCTTAAGCATAATACTAGTAATGTATTTATTGTTGCTTTGTTACTGTGCAATAAAAATTATTTTTTAAAGTTTTTCCTAAGTAAATTTAAATTACCGACGAAGACTCTATTTGTTTGTTACTTTATATTTATCCACATCATAATACGTTATTGGATTTTACAGAGATAGCCATCACGCGGTTTACCGGTTCGTGACGATAACGCCACCAGGTGCCTTTTCCAAATTGCAGGTATTATACGAATCAATGCCCTGCGCCGTCCCGGAATTAGCCTGTCCGCACACTAAATAGAACATCCTCCGCTGTTCATCCGGAATCTCGTTCAGCACCGTATGGGACACGAATGCCACATCCCCTTTTCCGTCGCGCAGGCAGTTCAACGCGCCCATCTCCCCGTCGTACTTATTATCTCCGCCTCGCGCACATGACTGCTCACCGCGCTCACACCGACGGCACAGCTTGGCCTTGTCGTCGGTCCACACGTTGGTATTGAGTTCGGCATCCGACAGACCCGGCAGACAGGAGTCCCCGAAGAAATCGGCCGCCGCTCGGATATTCTGACAGTCGCTGTGGCCCAATAGACCATTGCGGCGCAGCGCGTTAATGGGCAACATGAAGCCGTTGGCCTCAAAGACGCCGCTGAAGCAGGCGTGCTTTCCGCGAAGATCGTTCAGGCTGCGGATGTTGGGATCGCGGACCAATGCCACGGAATACGCCTCGTCGAAGATGGAGCTGGTGCTGCCTAGACGGTCACGGCTAACGAAGCGCTCCTGAGCAAGCTGGATGGCGTTAAAGTGGCTGTCGACACAAGAGACCAATCATATATTGAAAAGATTGTTAAAAAAGTAGAAAACTCTATGACGATAAAATTAATATATATTCACTACATAGTTCGTTAAATAAAAGTAATTATTTAGAGCAAGACTTGTTTGTAAAATATGTTACTTATCTCAGTTATGTATTAATATTGGACTAACTTAAAAGAAAATGAATATCTAGGTAATTAGAATTTATTAGAATATTACGTATAATTAAAATTAAAAAAAGGAATTTGTTTTTATTTAGTTAAACAGAGTAAGATTGTAAGCGGATACTTATTTAAGAAAACAGACTGAATTTGCGTCTTGGTTCTTCCTTAAGCAAGAAAGAACCGGTTATATATTGTTACATACCTTCCGGCGGCAACAAGGTCACCAACATCGACCATCGCAATATCCGTTTGGTTGGCGTTGATTTTAGTCAGACAGACATATGGATTCTTCACCGGTGGTTGACATTCGAGTTCCGGGCGGATGCGATGTGCCTGAATACGCAGTTTAAAATAACCCAACCATAATTCTGTTTATCGGGACCCGAGAAATAATAAATTTACCTGGAATGCTAGCTTCATTAGGCCGCATCGCTCCAGCTCCAGAGCGGAAGTGGTGCACAACTTGGCACGTGCGGACGCACTGCAGACTATGGGATCCTCCAGATACGCTTTATACGCACCTACACGAAGTAAAGAAAATATTTTAAAATCCCATTATTTTGTTTTCCTGTAATTACGATAGTTTTCACTTCAGCATAGTCGGATTGTTCAAGGGAATATTTTGGTCTCCAAAGCAATTTAATAAACATCAAGCATCAACCGGAGGTTGTACGTGCTTTGGTATAAAGGGCAATGCTAAATTATTTAGTAATTAAATCTCAAGTTTATTGACATAATTATCTAATTAGTGGCGATTTATGATTGACCTGCTTATACTATTTATTTACAAATCAACCTTTAATGTACTTTTATCGTTTTACCCAAATGATTATCCACCGTTAGCACCGTATCAAACTTGAAATTGACACCAGATGGCTGTGCATTATTCCGGTAGCTGCCCACAAAGAAACTGGGACTGGTCAGCCACTGTGGCCGCTGCTGGCCGCTGGACTGGTACGACAGATGGATTTCCCAGAATTTCTGTGCCGCATAGCGGGCATACTGGAAGCTCTGTCGCGTGATCCACAAGCTGGACGGGATCCGCCCCACATGACACTCCGTCCACGATTCGTCCAGCATCCGCGCCTGCCCGGCATAACCGCCGCCGCCGCCCGTGGCGGTGCCGCGCAGCGGGACTGGCTGTTGGTTGGGGCATAAAATCTGGTAGCTGCAAACGAAACACCAATAAATAACCACCAAAACTATGACAAGAAGGCAGACATTAGGGTTGCCGCCCTTTGAAGATGACGAGCCAAGCGAGTTTTAAGTAATCAACGCCTAAAGTGGACTACACCATGGCTTGATTTTCAAGGTGCGTTCGACCAAAAATCTTCGGATCGCTCGCTTGGTAAGGTCCGTGTAATGGTGATGGTGACTTACTTGTCAACATTGCCCATTGTACCAAGGGCATCGCGCAAGACGGTGGCCGAGACGAAGGCCACATCAGCGTTGGGGTTCTGCATGAGGCAGTTGAGGGAGTTATCCGGCCGCTGCGCGACCGTTGCAAAATGCGGACACGTGCCACCGCCGCCGCATAATGTGCAGAGGCGCCGGTAGCGGTTATCTGCAACAAGCGTTTAATACAGGCATCTGTTCTATGCAAATAATTTCCGACCTATCCCAACTTGAGTACCAAGCTCTATATCAGAATAATTTTCTCCTGCTAACATGCCGCTCGCTACCGCGCTGACATAGCAAACACCGACTGTTTTCAATAACTTAATTTCGATTCATAATTCTCGCGGCTATAACCAGACACTACAGCTTTAAAATTTGTTTAGGAAGTGTACAGCGCTTTTAATTATACGAGTAACATTTTTCACTGAACACCAAATTACTTGAAAATCAAAACTGGCAGTCAAAGAATTTTTTCTGTTGACGTCATGGCCCGTTTTATTGTTGGCTATTCAACAAAGTCATTCTTCCGTTTAGACGCGTTCTTCCGTACACGCATTTCGCCTGGAAAAAAACGGATAACTTACTTTCTTCGTCGGTGTAGTTGCGATTATCATAGGGCGCGCACATCTCTCCAAAGTACTTCATCATCACATCCATGGTATTCTCATGGCATTGGGGCTGTGTCAGCTGATTGGCGTGGCGTGCGAGATACGAGGCCACCAAGTCCCAGGTCACCGTGTCGCCCACCGAATTAAAGCAGGCACGTCTTCCGCGCAGCTGACTGATATCGGTGATGCCGCTGGTGGTGCGGACAATGGCCATAGCTTGGTCTTCCGCATCCACTGTTGAACAATATGACGTGAAAATGGTATAAATGGGAAAGCAGTAAACGACTTACGCTTATCACGACCGAAGGCTTCCGCCACCACCGCCTGCAGACCGAAATCCTTCTCGCCCACGTAAGCTTCACCCGGTGTCACCAGGACGATATCGGCAATGTCGTTCTTGATGAAGGCCATACATTCCAGCCTAATATTAATAAAGAATGCGTCAAAGCTCATAAATCGTACAAACAACGTTACATAACAACTAAACTGCGTTCCGCAATGTCTGGTTTAGAGCGTAATAATCATTAGCTTAAGTGCAACCGTGCTCTTCTCGCGACGTTATACCGTATAGCTCCCCACTGATCTGTGAGACAATAACTACTCCATCAAAATGCATGATACATGCATCGCCCTGCACAAATAATCGGCTACAATTTTTATGGGTGCGTTCGAACCATAAATCGACTTCGGCATATCGTATGATAAATTTCATGAATCTAATGTTTTTCTCATACCTGCTTGCTTGCAAATCACAAGCCCGTTTTTTTTTTTTTTTTAAATTAATGAGCATCTTAGAAACGCGAATTGACATAAATTATTTTGATGTATAAGATGTCTTAAGCTTGACTGGCTGAATTCTTTCTGTTAGCGTCTTAACTGAGCTTGTAATAATTTTTTGGCAGTAGCCTTACTTGTCAACAGCTTGCACACAGCTGTATTCGAAGCGCTTGAATCCGACGTTGGTCTGACGGGGACTACGGTTAGCGTAGGCGTTGAGTAAGGGATCGGGAACAGCGGAACGCAGATTCGGACTGTTCTTAATATCATAGACCATCTTCTGGCATTGTTGCTGCTCGCTGACGTCCACCGTGCAGAAACGTAGCGGTATTACGCCGGGCGGCAGATTGAAGAGGCTCTGCTGGCCGCTCACTTGCCATTGCTGCTGATCACCGGTATTGTACGATCCGTATGTATTGCTGCAAAGATGCATAAGCGTTAGGAATTAATCAATCGGGGCTGGCTTATTTGCCAATGACATAGAGCCATGACTCACACACCGATAAAACAAATTAATTTATTAGCGTAAATAAATAAATAAATTTCTCACATTGTCATAGAAAAATTTGCTATTCCGCATTTAAACAGGTCAAAACTGATATTTCTTTTTTAAATAAAAGACTCTACATTTACGGTATTCTTACGGTTAGAGTTACGTTGGAGCAAACTTAGAAAATTAAATTACAAAAATAGAGAGCTATTGGGCCAATAAATAAAATAACGATGAGAGAAATAAAATATACAGAAATTTCAGAAATGATTTAGTGCAGAGATATTTACTGTGTGATTATTAATTAAAGATCTTTTACCGAAGCCGACGACTGTTCTTACCCGGCATTCTGTTGTTGCTGCTGATTCGACCACGAATTGCTGCCGCCCTGTTGTTGTTGAGCATTCTGATTATAACCGTACGATGACTGTGTGGGATTCTGATTGGGATACTGATTACTAGGATTATATTGATTATACTGGCTATTATACTGGGCGGACACCACCGAAATCAGCACGAATAATCCGCAGAAAAATCCCGGCGCGCGCCGCATTTTCCACACAAAAAATAAATGCCAATCCGAGATCACCAATATTGACCTTTACGAGGAATAAATGAACTGCTATGTAAGTCGACAATTAATGGCGGATCACAATGGAAGAGTCAAACGGAAAGAAAATTGGGTTAGACTCGTTAAAACACTGTGCCAGAGTGCTTACGGCCAGTCAGCTTGTAAATGTCTCAGTTTTGGCGTAATGTAGTGCGAGCCTTGATGATTGCAGGTAAGAACAGAAATTCACAGATAAAGCATGTATGCGTGTGTGTGGATATTTTATGTTCGACAGTTTACTCATGCGCATTTATCGCCCGGTTTTCAATGCTGGGGAATTCTGGCCGCGGCGATAAGCGAGCGCGCGAGCTCTAGCTGCCCCTCAACCACGGTGTGAATACAATTGTTTACCTTGACTGTGTGTGTGTAATACACACTGTATAAATGGCGATATGTACAGATAGACCTCTGTACAGGCCCAGGTAGGATTAGCTGGTCTTATCAGTGGCGCTGTGTTAGAATTTCTCAGGATAAAAATGTGGGTCTGAACATACAGCAAACTACCAGCGTGTTTGGATTTATTAGTCATTTATTCCGGCCTCTGCATAATTGTTCAGCATTGTTTGTTAGCCAGCTGATAACGCCGGGGCTGTAAAATTATGGCTGTGAGCAATAGAAATTCTAAATTCTCCCAAAATTGGATAATCCATTTGCATGCCGACGAGCAAGCCGGTGCATAGAGCAGCATTTTAAATTTATTATCGTAATTTTCATGAGTCATAGGTTTAATTTTGAAATTTATTTTTATCTTTTTGGCTATTGCAGTTTAATGTTACGAGTATGTTACTGGTAATGTTGTCACTTGTCATTTATAGTCGTCGATGCTGTTCTAAGCAGAAGAAACAGTTTGCCGGTTTTTGTTTGTTCTGGTTTTGATTTAAAACAAGAGCTGTGAACGCGCAAACTGCCGGTCCAGTTTGGAAGTTTTCTATGATTAAAAAACAGTAGAATTGAATTTTCATAAAACATTCGAACATCGCGCCGACTATACTGCTTGCTGTTTTAAGATTATTTTAACTTTTATCCGAACAAAATATTTATCCTAAATTACTAGTGCAGCAAAATACAACCCCTACATACCAGTTATTAAAAGTATAAATTCTCGCGACGCTGGTCAAGAAAATTGCACTTGATATTTATAAATGATTTACTGCGATGTCAGCGGTCACCAGTCAATAGTGGCAACAGAGCTCTCAGTTTACATTCCCCTTTTACAGCCACCACAACACCGGAACCGTCTTTACAAGTGGCATTCTGATTCAGCGAGGCCGACATTACGTCAAGATTGACCAAGTGGCTAGTCGCAAATTCGCAATATACCACACTGTTGCAAGGAGAATAACGCAACGCCAGCCTCCTGCCAAGTCACAGTGTATCTTTCAAACATGGGCACTGTCGATCTGTTTGCTGGCTATCCGGCCAGCAAACACACCTTTGCCCCGGTGATTAAGCCGTCAGGATTTAATGGCTCCCCGAATCACATACACACTGTGTATGGCGCTTTATGACTGCACGTACGACTCGGTGTCGGTAAATATGTATTTACGTTATCTCCCATTGGAAATGAGGAGATAAAACCGTTTTACTAGCGCTGCCACTCCGGTTACGTATAGAATGTGGATCCCTCTGTTAAGTACTTGACTAGAACTGTTGCACGGTAAGTACGCTAGACTGCCCAGTGGAAAGAAAGCTATAGTGCGCAAAGATATGTTGTACTCATCGGCTCACCATGTTCTCTACATACTAACCAGCCCTACGTACATGTAGCGCACTTCAGGCGGAATGTTTACGCTGACATTTCTAGATCTTGTAGTTATTCGGTCTTTGTTTGCGGTAAATTCATCGGCTTCTCTTTCTTATGTGCGGGACGATATGTTGTGGGCGTGGTAGGTGGTACGATTAGTAAAGCATTCCTGATTTCCATGGCAGTACTTTCTTAATTCATGCCCTTGACAATGTGCAGACTGCATACGACCTTTCAGTATTTTTCCCTATCGGTTACACAACTGATATTTTTCAAGCGCTGAACTGCGTAGCAAATTTAAGGAGACAAGTCCTGGCAAAAAACGTTGTGGTACGAATGTTGCCTCAACTGCATAACCTTGTGAAACCATCTGTACAGCATTTCTATCAAAATAAATATCGACTGCGCAGCCACTTACATTGTTACTTCATTACTGCTACTACCCTACCAACATAATAAAACATGGCGACTTACCCTGAAAATATTATTGGCGCTCTGCAACAAACCGCCAAGATCAATCTTGGGGCTGAACTGGAATCCGGTGACCTTAAGTGCTGGATTCTGCAGAAAAATAGGCCAACTGCCCATTCAAAAATTGTTTTTGTGTACCATCATATACTGAAAAATTGCAAGTCAATGAAAGGCAAAGAGCTGCCACCTGATTTGAGCGCCCACTGCTTCCGCTAGGCAGCCTCGCCAGTGTTGTTGAGATCCATAAAAAAAGCCACCTGATAGCGTTGAACCACAGATACATGATTAATTATTATCTCGGTAAATGCTTTGGTTGTTAAAATGATGGAAAAATGTGGCTGCAAGGTGTGCTGTAAAAATTGTGATGTAATATTACTGTATAAATGAAAAAAAGCTTTTGTAGCGGTCAGAACAAGTTTACACGCGAATAACTATAGTTCAAAATATTGGATTTTCGATGCCGAACCGAACCACAAATGCTGTAAACTGAAAAATACTTTTTGTGAGAATTTCCGTTGGTTTACTAGACATTCGCTCCAAGCTTCTACTGTGCGTACGAGTTTATAAGTTTGTCTCTCCCATTGATAAACTTGTTGCTGCATAATTGCATTATCTGGTCCACCGCACCCAGTCGCTGCTTACTCACTGGCATAGTGCGCGGGCTAGCGTTATGCTGCTGCCGATTATTGACCTCTGGATGTGATAATCAGCCGCTAAGCTGCAAATTAATAATACTTTCTCTTGTCTATTGCCATTAAACATAATTAATGTTACCGCTTCCGGACTCCACTGGGGGCACTGGAGCCCCGGCTGCTGGGAGGCTGGTGCTCTCTGTGATCGGCTGTGTGCGGTGACCGTGGGTCAGCCAGAAGCCGGTCGACCGGGGGTCGGCGGAAGAGAGCGACCAGTGCCCTGCGCAACCGAAGGCCCCAAACAAAACCCCAAACAACCCAAAATAAGAATTGATGAGCAGTTGCACGGTTCTGCTGATGTATTTGGTGCAGATTCGGAGTTCCATTGGGAGAAGGCAAAATCCGGCTATCTTTACGTCGCCAGGGCTGACGTCGTTACTTTGCCGATAAGGAGCGGTGCGGTGCAGTGATGATCCCGGCGTGCTATGGCAGGATCAGTGGTATGTCAGCATCCAGTCAGGTTTTTCCATGCAAAGTGAAACCGCCGCTAGTGATCTGCTTGCCGTCGGAAGTAAGCGCACCGGAGGTGGTGGCTTTGTATGCTGTCCGAGGAAGGTGCAACCGCCGCTGGGGGTCTGCTTGCCGTCGGAGGTAACTGTGGCCGTCACTGTTGGCTTGCATTGCCGTCCGAAGTAGGCGGTTGCAGTTAGTGGCACGCATTGTCGCCAGATGTAGGTGCAGTTGTGGCTGGAGGCTTACCTACCTGTTGGACACAATCCGGGCGTAGTTGCAGGTAATGTCTGGTCGTCGGAGGAGGATGTGGCCGTGATTGAAGGCCTGCCTTGCCGTCCGCGGTAGGTGTAGCCGTCTCTGTTGGCTTGCCTTGTCGTCGGAGCTGGGTGCGGCCTTAGTTATAGCCTGCCCTGCCGTCCGAGGTGGTGCAACAGTCATGTTGGCTTTCGTGCCGCCGGTGGGAGGGAAAGTCGTAGCTGGAACAAGCCAGCTTTGCCGTCAGAAGTGGTGGAGCCATCGTTTTTGGCTTACTGTCCGCAAAAGTTGGTGAGGGCATAATTGTTGGCTTGCCCTTCCGTTCGAGAAAGGTGCTGCCGTCGTTTGTGTGCATGCTTGCCGTCTGAGGAGGGCGTCGCCGTAGCTACGGAGCATGACCCGCGTCCGTGGAAGCTGTAGCCGGCTTTAGTGGCCTGGTATGTCGTTCGAGGAAGGTGCAACCGTCGCTGGGGGTCTGCTTGCCGTCGGAGGCAGGCGCGGCCGAAGTTGGTGGCCTTGAATGCCGTCCGAGGTTCGTAAAAGAACAGAGATCACTCGCGCGCACACGATATCGAAGGAGCAAAGACAGACAGCAGTGAGAACTGCAGAACCATGCAATGCGAGCACACGAACAGTACCAAGTGCAAACAGCATGCCCGTGCATGACGGCGGCCGCTTTGATCTAAGCGCCACGGCGACGCGCAGCGCCACCAACAGACTCACGTAACTCGCAACACACGGCGAAAGGAGACAGAGCGGGAGCGCATGTCCTCCAGCTAACATTAACATCAATTAACTCGTTAATTGTCATTAACACAGTCCCGACAAGAGGAGCACCGCACCCTGTTGACAGTTGCATAGATGCAAAGGCCATAGATGCACGCTATGCAACAGTTGCACAGTTGCATAGCATTTTAGAATTCAGCAAATTTTTAGAGATATCATAGCCGGAAGAAATCCATCAGAACCGAACGCACGCGGGTCAAAGCAGTCCTTAAAATTCATTTAGTAAACCGACCAGACGGCACGAAAACGTTCCCGCAGTAGGCTATAACGGGCGCTTTTTTGGCGATAGTATACTCATAAGTCATAACGAAAACGTTCTAACGCGAGGAAAACCCGAGCACATTGTGGGACTAAGAAATTGGATGCTTCGGTTTACCGCATTACGCATACATATAGAGCCTGTAAGCATTTCTCTGTTGGAACCCAGTACTGAGCCTACGGATAATAAATAAGCTCATTAAATAGGTTCTTGTAGTACTCTGTATGTTGTTCGCTGGTCTACAGAAAATTGGCTAGAGGAACCGTGGATCCGCTAGCCAATTTTCTGTAGACCTTTTTGTGTATATTTACGCTTTACAAAGTAAAAGGAGGGCTGCTAACGCAGGTATGTTATGTAGCTGCGAGTAAATTGTATCATAAGTAGACAGTCTAAAGTCTGCTTCAGGTTGCATTGTTGGATAAACAGATCATCCCATTAATGCCAGCACAGGCCATCCGACAATCCTCGGAGTTCATTTTCCCGCCCAGCTCTGACATCACCACAACGTAACCGAGGACCCCGCCGGCGATCTACAAAGGTCAGCGCTTTACTGTCTGACTCCCATAACATGTAGCAGAGTGGTACAGCTACAAGTTCCAACCAACCGTTAGGCAGGACTCGCGCGTGATTTCCACACCGGCCATGGTGAGGTTACAATTGTCTAAGTTCATCCATCGTCGGTGCGATTCCAGTTTCCACTTATCGGAATCCGATACTGTCTTCATTGTGACGACACACGACAACAAGGTCTTAAATTTCAATTTCTGCCAAAATAAATAGCAAATATGTCAACGCATGATGGTTTTAAACGATCGCCTCAGTTACCGTTTCACTAACGAGCGTTAGAACTGCGGTTTGGCAGATCAGAAGTAAGAGCGCCACCGCAATGCGCTGTGTGCCATCTACGCTGACTTGACCGTGAGCTAGGAAATTGCTGGATATCGTGTGAACATACATTAGCAGCACGGACATTGTCTCCAAGAAAATCAACAGGTTTACCCATTGCATCGATGCATCGTACTCGCCAATAAAATTGCACAGTAATCTGTGTTTGGCCAAAACCTCATCAAAACCGCATCTAGCATCGTTTATCGCCAGTAAATGCAATCTGTTGGTCAGATTTCGGTATATTGTCCACACCATCCACGGCAACAGCAAAACCAGACACTGTGCAACTTTTCGAGCACAGTAATTAATTATATGTATCCATACAACGGTCAGCCGAAGTTCGCGGGAGTAGTTTGTCACGAGCCACAATATTTTCGTACTGGACACGGTTGTCATCGAATTACTGCTGAGGAATTCGTTTGTCATACGCTGATGTTCCACGGAGAAAGAACTGATTATGCTAGAAAACAACGGATGAGCAGCTACTGAAACTACAGCAAATGCAACAAATAAGCATCCGTCCTTTATGCGTATACAGTCGGCAAATATGGTCGTTAGATTTTCACAGAAATTTGTGAGACAACGGTGGCTGCGCCAGAACATGGTGATGTAGACGATTAGAACTGGATGCAGACACCAGTAACGAAACGCTAAAAACAATTCCAGAATATTCTTGTAGGTTGATACTTTCCAATCAAAGGCCCAAATATACACTCCTTCCACTACCAAGAGCAGCACAATATAACAACAGCAAATGCCGTTAACAAAGAGCTTCAGAAATTCACGTCTGTTAATTTTTTTCAACGGGTTGGGAAAGTATCCACTTAGATGTAATAGTAGAAAAATACACAGTATCACGAAGTGGACAGATTGAGCGGGATACAGCAGAGTGAGCGTATTCATTCTTTATAAACACGCGCTGTAGCACTCAAATGACAACCAAAAAAATAACTGTAATCATAGAAAATAAACTGAGATTTGTTTTGCTACAGACACATGAATACGCCGATAAGAAAGCATCACAGAATAGCGGTTTACTAATTTTTTTCGCTGTCAGGAAATATCATTCGATATCAACGGACACCGCACAATATTAGGAAGAAAACGCTTGCAATCTAATGTACACAATTTAAATACGCATTTGTTCATTCGGTATAACTCTTGCGGTGCACTGGAAGCAGCCAAAGCTTAAGCTGCGCAGCAAATTCGTACGTGCGGTTCTCACCGCAACAGGACAGGTGTCAAAACGCTTTCCACTTTTCAATTGTGCAAATTCTAGCGCCTAGCAGCTGCAATGCCAAAAGCATTTCATTCCAGCCCATGTTGGATTCGAAGCGCAAAGTACAGTAGTTATCGATTAATCCATACAAAAAATTTTCAAATGTAAAAAGCAGTAATTTGCGAAACTTTTCCAGAACACGACCGTTGTAAACTAGCTTATTGCAGACATAACGTGTTTTCGCATACATGGAGCACCGAAAAGACTTGTCTTACAAACCGGCTCGCTGCATCCAAGCACTTCTGCTGTGTTTTTTTATCCTGGCACATGCATGCGGATACTTTCGCAGTCCCTTCGAAACCATTTACACTCGCCGCATATTAAACCGAGTAATTAACTGCATCTTGTGCTGTTACGTAGCGCTTCAGTTGTTAACAGACAGTGTATTCATCCGTGTCTTTAACCGTGATCTTAGTTCCTATCAGAGTGTAACAGAACTGTTGTTCTCCTTCCGAATTTACTTGATCGCACCATTGACTATAGTCTACGTTGGTCTGATGTGGCGGCTACACGGTTGCCTGACACGCTTTTCCGATGAATTACAACTGACATTTTCGCTATACATTAGCAGCGGGGAAGCGGTGCTTCTGATATCGTTAAGCATCCTTTTAGTGTCATTTTATCCACTGTATGCGACAGTGACGTCATATCAGAGCGACGGAGAGAAAATAAAAGCGGCGCTGATTGCTTCTCAAAACCACGTAATCAATAGAAAAACTGCGGATGTAGCCTGGCTCATCAACAACCTTCCGCCCATCGCGTGTCAAGCAGTGGGTATTGTTCATAGTATTAGTTACTGTGCACGGAAGATCGTGCAGTGCTTCATTATCATCTTCACGTGGATCGTTTGCATAATTTATAAGAAAATCTGTAATGGTATTTCCTTATTGGTGGACAATGTCAGGTGCAGTGGGTATGACGAACTTGAGCGTCTGTTGCGGCAACATAAAGTGCTGCGTGACTTAGTGCAGGAGTACGACCAATCCTGTCGCTGGATCAATTTTTTGGCATATTTGGAAATTATGTCCGTTCTGCTCATGTACATGTATGAATTATGTAAGGATTATGTGGCACATGATCGAGCGGAATTACGAGATACGATGCATGTCGCGGTGGCGGGACTTCTGCTGATTTCTCAGACGTCTGCTCTGACGTTTCTTACTGAAAAGGTTATAGTAATAACGTTCTGTTATTATTATTAATGTCTCAACTGTCAAATATAAAGATACTGTTTAGTGTTACCATTACTGTTTTAGAAGGATGAATTTTTTAAAATGTTACGCTGCATAACCAGTTTGGAAGCTTTGCCAAAGCAGCGCAAAAAGCAACTGAAATCCTACGTCCGGAACATGGAGCTGAGGGATGTTAATATTACCGTTGCCGGTCTGCATATGACTCGTGAAACCTGCATTGCGGTTGGTTCAATTACACCGTGTGCGCTTTTTATCATAAAAATGTTTTCCAATTGCAGATGGCTGCCGGAATACTTGGCTACATCATTTTGTTCTCGGAAATGGGTGAACAGAACACCAGCACACTCCTTAATGCAAGTCCCGACGCGAACATTTCTAAATATGCAAAGGTGTAATAATACATTTGCGAATTATTGCTTGATTTATAAAGCAGAAGCTGCAAAAACATGAATCATAGTTTTTATTGCATATCTTTGTACTTTTTCTAACGTAACGAGATTTATTCCGTTCCACGATTCCTTCACAATTACTTTTTGGTTCTTTTGCATTTACATTATTGTAATAAAAATAGTAAACAGTAAACACCGCACCGTTCTGGCATGTTAGCTTTCAAAAATTTGCAATGGTTCTTCGGCATACTTGTTTTCTCGCTGACAGCAAGCAATCAACTGGATTTCTAAAAATGAACGATCTAAAATGAACGATGGCGAAACTAATGAAATGAACGGTTTCTTGGCAAACTCTGTTCCTGTTTCAGTGAACCGGTAACGCAGCCATGTGCCAGTTGAAAATACAGATAAAAAGCTTATCGGTTAACAATAGCTGCGGAACATATCTATACGTAGCTCATAGCTGATTAAACCAAAATTCGCAACGGTATTGGTATTTCGGCGAGTGTACACTAATCTGAGCGGATTAGAAAAGTAGCCGAAGAAATGCGCCAGCACGACGAATGATCGTACCAAGTTGGTGTTAAAAAATATTGTCGATGGCCCGTTACCTCAGCACTGCAGCTTGCCAGGTTTGTCATTTTTTGTTAAATGTCACGTTTAACAGAGTAGCGGAAATCGCTAGCCTGTGCTATACGGAAGTTTATATCTCGAATTTATATTACTGCATCGCCTTCCGCTAGTACTACGAGAATGTTGTGATAGTCAAGTTCTTCGGCTCGTCGGTTACAACCGACCGACGACTTCCAGTCGGGAAATGTCAGTGCAGGTGTGACTAAGCAAAACACGAGCTCCTGCGCCTAGCAGCTGTTTAAGGTACGAGAACATTACGTGTATTCAAAACAGGGTGAAAAGCGGCACTATCACTCGTGTTTGACAGTTTTGTGTGAATGATTATAGTTTTATGAACTCTAAAATTTCAGTTGGTTAGGGCTTGCTTGAGTATTTGTACGCTGAGAAAGTTATCCAAGCAAACAATTTTTCGTCCCATCTGTGTACAGTCGTTGTATGTACTCGTACGATAAACGTGTTGTGCCGTCAGCTGGTCAACTGCACCTATCGTTGCTTATTTATTTACATTAGGAGGCGCTATGATGCTCATGACCTTTGGATGCGCTTATCAGCTAATAATCTCCAAGTAATGAGACTGACCGCCATTAATCATTATGCCAAGGTAAGCAAATGGAGCACCGCGCCCTGCTGACAGCTGTAAGGCGTGTAAAATACAGCCCATCTAAGAGTGGTAGCGTGACCTTCGCAAATTCCTTTGTCATTAAAACTGATCGAACAATAATGCGCCTAATCAAAGCAATACTCAAACAATTTTTAACAACTTGTAAACAAACCAGATTTTAGCGAAATCGCTTCAATAATGCGCTTTTAATGCGTCATAGTCGCTTATTGTCTGGTCGGGTGGTTTTAGCAGTACTTTCAATCATCTATGGAAATAAAGAAGACAGTGAGTAGTTAATGTACGCCTCCAGTATAAGGCTGTAAAAATGGTTCTCTCGTGTAGTCCATACCGCGCACATCACCGATTCTCTGCAAGAACCCAGTAATGAGTTTGCAAATAATTTTAAATGTGCATTTCTTGTGTTCCTGTTGCACACTCACTCCCGAAATCAATAACTGTTTGGACTGCGAACCGACTGGTCAGTCGGTTCTCTCTCTAATTTATTAGTCGTTCGTTGTAAGTTTTCTTTACAATTTAATAAAAGCGCTGCTAAATATAAATGTGGTAATTTCTTATTTTACAGTCGACATTAGCTGCTCCATGTTGCATTGTTTGATGCAGCCACAGTCTCATTCTTGCCAGTACAAAGAAGTGGGCCATCTTCAGAGCTGGTTTTCGCGCTGAGATCTGACATTACCACAATGTAGCCGAGGACACCGCCGGCGATCTGCAAAGCGTGTTATGTTACTGCATTGTTCGAACAGCAAACATACAGTGACCAGCAACCGCTATACAGGACTCGCGAGTAATTTCCACACCGGCAATGGTAAGGTTGGCACAGCCCACGTTCATCCAGCGTCGGTGCGATTCCAATTTCTTCTTGTCAGAATCCGATACGCTGTCCAGAGTGCCAGCATACACCAGCAGACTTTCAAATTTGTTTTTCTAACCAAATAAACAGCCAATACGTCAACCCTTTATCGGGGTTAACCATCGTCAAACACCGTCGATCTAAATTACCGTTTCACTGAGCAGCGTCATAGTTGCAGTTTGAAAGATTAAAACTAACAGCGCCACGACAATCCGTTGTGCGCTTAGCGCGCTGACGTCCCCGTGAGCCAAGAAATCGCTCGACAGCGTGTAGACGTACATAAGCAGCACGGACATTGTCTCCAGGAAAATCCATAGATTCAACCATTGGGTCGAAGCATCGTACTCTCCAATAAAGTCACTTAGTATCCGGTGCTTAGTCAAAAGCTCATCAAGACCGCACCTGCCGGCATTTGTCGCCAGCGTTTGGAATTTATCGGTTAGATTGCGGTAAATCGTCAACACTATCAACGCCAACAGCAAAACCAGACACTGTACAGTTTTTCGAGCGCAATAACTGACTAAGTGTATCCACACAACGGCCAGCCGTAGTTTGCGTGAATAGCTTGTCACGTGCCGTAAAATTTTCGTACTAGAAGCCGTTGTCATCGAATGACCGTCCAGAATTTCGTTTACAACACGCTGATGTTCCAATGAGAAGGAACTGACTATGGAAGAAAAGACTGGATGAGCGACTACTGAAAAGACGGCAAATGTTACTAACAAACATCCCTCCGTTCTGCCGATGTTACCGGCAAATGTGACCTCTAGATTATCGCAGAAATTTGTAAGACAGCGGTGGCTGCGCCAGAGCATGGTGATGTAAGTGATCAGAACCGGATGCAGGCACCAGTAACGAAAGCCTAAGAACAGCTCCAGAATATTCTTGTAGGCTGACATATTCCAGTCAAAAGATTGGACATAAAATCCTTCTGCTACTAAAATCAGCACAGTATAACAACAGCAAATGCCGTTAACAACACGCTTCCGCAATTTATTTGTTTTGATTTGTTTCAATGGGCTCGGAAAATATCCACATAGATGTAATAACAGCAGAAAACACGATATCACGAGACGGACAGATTGAGCGGGATGCAGCAGATTGCGATTATGCTTCTGCATTGTGTTCTCAGCAATCGCGGCACCAGCTGAATTGGCTACCCAAAAAATAACTATAAGTAGAAAAAAAAGGTTCTGATCTTTCGCGCAGCTGAATATACAAATAAAAAGAAGCTTTCGTTTTTCTGAAACAGCGAGTATCAACGCATCATACGAGTATTGTACAAGAAGCGATTGCACTCTATCTGTAATGTGCAAAATTCAAATACGTATTTAATTCATTCGATACGTTTTTCCGGTGCAGCTAAAACGGTCAACGTTAACGGTGCGCAGTAAAATGTATACAAAGTACAGTCTGTATTGTGGACACAATGACACAAGCTTGAAAAGCTTTCCGGTTATCGTTTGCGCAGAATGTTAGCGCAGCTGCTGCTTGTCAATTGTAGTGCCAAAACATTTTATATCGGTAAAAGTCGGATTCGAAGCTCCGACTTTCTGTATACGACTTATTTCTATCGATTAATACTCGCAGAAAATTTCAAAGATTTAGTAAACAGTGAACTGCAAAAACGTTTTAATAAGCGCCTGTCGCACATTACGAGAGATAATTAGACAGTAGAGATTAATATTATTCAAAATGCTCTCGGATACGTGCAGCACCGAAAGGACTTTTATTAAAACCCGTTGCGGCTTTTAAACGCTTTTGCTGTATTCTTCATTCGAGCTGGTGCTTGCGTTGGACAGCAACGGTCGCAAGGGTAATTGGACGCAAGTGCACTGAATTTACTTTCTAGCAGGCAGAAGTGATAACATCCGTCAGAATCTTTCAAAAACGTCTTCGTTTATACATAAACATGTATTCTGTAGTCTGTACATACAGATCATGCACTTAAATCTCTGACACATTCGACAAAATTGTAATTGTATTGCATACTACCTCTTTTATAAAAATAAATAGTCGTGCCCTTATCACAAAGCTCCATAAAATTACCCTGGTTATGCCTTTGAAAGCTTTTGCGAGCGTGCTTTTGCATCAGGTAAGCTCCTAATCATCATCGGCGCTCTCACCGGTATCATTGCTGTTGTCGCTGGTTCCTGTCGTGCCGCTGCTGATGCTTGGTTTTCGCTTTCGCATTTTGAACCAGTAAAAAAGACCGCCAGCTGCCGCAGCCAAAGCAACCTATAAGAAGCATCACATTGCCAAAAATTTCTTAATGATGTCGCTACTGGTACCGAAGACTACTATTCAGCTGCTTGGAAGAATGGCAATCAAATTTCTAATTTGTGCTTCTGTTTTCCGTCTCCTGCAGCTACTGCTGTTGTTCAAGGAGAAATAAGTGCACTGACGATTTTCAGACCACTATCGTGCTGACAACTTGATAAGGACTCTTTGGTGACCGACAAATCGGCTACTGAATGAGTTGTTTCAGCGACTTGTTTCAACATACCAGTCCAATGGAAATTCCTGCAATCAATCCCGCACTGGAACCACTACCGCCTAAAAGCAAAACACAGACTATGACCGTTAAAGGATTATAAGGTCAGGTTACCACTTACCAGCATCCTTGACACTGTTACCGGCCATAGTACTAGCATCGGTGGCTGTATCGTTGCTTTTGGCGGTCGTAGTGTGGCTGGTATCACTGAGATTATCACCATTTGAACCATTCGTCTTGAGCATCCCATGCAATACGGCCAGTGAATAATCGGCAAACTGACTGGGTTGTGGCGTGTCGCTTGCCGTATAATTCTTCTGTAATCAACATTTGAGAAAGATGACTAAAATGATCACGTAATACCTATCCCGCACAACAATCATAATAATTTTTTCGTGTACCGGTAGAGCGGGTTGTTGCATGACTTCGTCCCATCCAAGCTTATTGCAGTTATCTTCGGCGCAGATGCACCTCCGGTCGATCATTGGCATACCATTAGGACCCGGCGGCAATTTGGTTTGCACTAATTCGATGCAAACCATTTTCTGGCCTTTCGCCATGGTTTTCCACAGCTCGGTGTCAAGCTTTGTAAACACCGAACAGTGCCGTGTCACGGCTGGCGCTGCGGGATAACGCACCACAAAATCGCACAAGAGCATTCGGTTATGGTTTGAGTAATCGTTTGATGCCAGTCACGGCGACAGATATAGTCACCGGTCAGTTGGTGTAGATTATCGGCTTCTCGTATTAGCCGACCGAACTGGGATAACTGTAAGAGCGCGCACAAGAAAATGCTTGTTGCTGGTTCATGGTTGTTGCGTTAATTCGTAACCCTTCCTCGATGACCTCGAAGTTTTAATTTAGATAAATTATCACCGGAATAGTTAGGTAAACTCAGTAAGAATAGAAAAAAGATATACGAAGACGTATGAAAGTAGAACTACGCATAGGAGACCGTCACTTTGGAAACAAACATTCTCTTGTCCAAGTATAAAAGTTTGTACTTGCTTCGTTTTGGTATAAATTCGCAAACGCTTGGTGACACTAGGGACGGAATAGGTAATTTTTATTTTAGAAAGTAGAACCCTGCATACAAAGTATTTTTATTAATTTTGTATTTGTCAAACTATTCCGTTACAGATCGAATTGAACCAAATCGAATCGAATTAATCCAACGTCTTAAAAGCTGCAGTGATCAGTTGTTTTGCGCGCTCCCACCATTATCCAGACTACTTAGATGCAGGTAAAACGTTAACAGCGCCAACTCACTACTACTGTGGTCGCGTCTTAGCGGGCATTTTGTTGTTAATTTTGCCTACTCTACAAGACCGCCGAAACTATATAAAACTCATAACAAAGAAACGTATTCGGGCGTCTTTTCTGGATAAAAAATTAGAGCATTCGCAAGCCCTTGTATTTTCTACTTAAGACCGCTCTTGGAATGGAAAGTGAAAAAACCTACGAGTAAGTGACCTAGTATTTTTGCGAACTGATTACCGAATACTGGTGGTTTACTGCCTTCGAGCGGTCGTATGCCGGTTGCGATGTAACACGTCGTCGCTCCAGCGGCGGGATCGCAGGTCATCGTGCTGGTATTTTTCATTGTGGTACACCACTCGGGGAAGGAGTTCTCTGGAAAACTACACAGCTGGCACTGAAGCGCTTTAATACCTGCAAAAACAATACCAAAATTACTTTTGATCACTGCGGCACAGTCGGATTTCACTGCAAGAGCCATACACCGGCATCCACCCAAGATAGTCTTCATCTGAGGAGATTACAAGCAAAAAGTCGGTTTATGGTAGGGATCCAGAGATGGAAACTAAACTTAACGATTTCTGGTCTTGATTATTCGATTTGAGTAACTGTACACTACTACACATACAGTTAGTAGTTAGTACTGTTCCAAAATTTTTTATTACGATAATATGCGATGAAACTTATAGCATATTTAGATACGTTCAGGAAGTTTAATCTAAATTTTGCAACTGACCCATAAGAAAAGAAAGCTGTTGCATGACTTTCACGTTTGGTCAAAATATTTTGTTCTCATTCCTGCATCTGAAGGCATTTGGCCGCACGCAAAACCGTAAAACCTAAAACCGCAAACGCAAAACCGGTCCTAACAATTATGTCAAAAGCCCTAAAATTTCAATGCAACCTTCTGAAAAATTTTGTACAGCTCTAAAAGTATTCCCGAAGTCTTGCCCAATAAAACCGAAAATAAGGTTATTTGTGATGTTCTTCCGCTAAATTAGCATAATTTTGCGGGCACTAAATATTGCAATGCAAAAAATAAATAACAATTTTGTTGGATACCTGCTTTAACCAAAGCAAAATCATCATTTTTACCACTCAGATACGCAATCAAACGATCATATTAAACCATAACAGAGTAATCTGCACAAATAAACAATTATTTTTTTTGAGTCGGTTTTTTCATCCGAATCGACGGCGATTGAACAACGCCCCCGTAAAATTTTGGTATGAATGTAGAATTTATATCGCAAAAATACTAACCGAATATTGATGTTTTCCCTACCGGAACCGAAAGCCCTCATAGTAGCGCGCCGAAAAAATTTTCCGCCTTTAATATTCTGTTTTTTTCTGATTAATACTTGCAGTTAAATATCAGCACATATTGTTAACTGAATAATTTCAGTTCCATGCAAAACCATACCTAGAAGTTTGGAACAGATTATCAGGAACAAAATTGTGTGAAAGGGCATCGCCACAACAGAACAAAGTCATAATTTGTTATCCGTGAATCGGCACATGGCCCACTGTCCACTTCATGAAAACTGCATGGGCTGACGTTTACATCACAACAAATTTCTCAGTTTTAAGCATGCCATCATGCCGTACATTTAAAACAGCTTGAGTCATTTAACGCTTATTATATTATTTCACAACGCACAAAAAATATAACATCGCAAGATAAGAAACAGTAAGTACATCGCCAAAGCAGCGTTACAACAAATCGTCGAATACCGATGACTTTTCTGTACGACAGACATCCGATTAAAAATAAATTTACAAGAAAACCAGTACAAAACAATTCAGAGTTGAGGCTTACATCAAAAAGCTTTAAGTCACTACGAATGACGCGTAGGTACTTCGTACAAATGACAAAATGATACGATTAAATACTCCAGTGATTATTTCTGCATGCGATACAGGGATAGGCGGATAGTACGTACGTAGTACTAACAGTGTTAGTAATATATATAGTACTTAAAAAATTAAGAATTAGTGATTACAAGAAGTGGTAATGCGGTGTGGAAATGTGCTTTTAACTTTCGGTAAATCTTTACGTATCTGTGGGGTGCATAAGTTCAATTTCCTTATTTTTATTAATTTTTCCTTTTTCACTGCCAGGCAACAATGCGCACTCAACGTCAACCGCAACAATGCTAGCCTGCTAGGTACCTCTAGTTTGTACTAGGTACCTTCTCGTACAATTATTTTATACGACCATTTTCTCAATAGCAGAGTAGTTTAAATTATTCTCAATAGCAGAGTAGTTGACTACTGAAAATACACTACTGTACAGTATACTGTGCAAATAATGGCTTTTGTATAATGATAATAATTATCGTATTTTTATGTACCACGATACGTACAAGGTCGTCTGTACGTTCTCTTACTCGTTAGTACTCGATAACACATGCACAGAGTACTAGCAGCTAGCAACTCCACCACACGAGGTAGCTGTTTGCAGTGGCCCCGCCTACAGATACGGTTTGCCAAGCCACCTCGTGCGGTGGAGCTGCTGACTTTGTAACGCCAAGATGCTGTTCGAAATTTCGAATTTGAGCCGAACTCGTTGCTAGCGGCCCAACATTTTTACACTGCCCCTGTTCATGTTTATTTTCACGAAGGTGAGGTTGCAAAACTCAAGCAGCAAGAACCTGCGAGGTTTTTTATTAGTTACAAATTATACGTCCCGTTCAGAAATTCCTCTCATCGCCCGTTCAGAAATTCGACCCGTTGCTCAGTCCGGTTCATAAATTCGTCCTGCGACCTGAGATACCGTGTAAAGTATGGAGAGTGGCGAGCCAGTTGCATCTCGTTCTGTCTCCGAAGGGGAACTGATAATATCGTGCCAGCCATGGGTGTGGGCCTTCGGATCGGCAGGGTACAAAAAGCGCTGTGCAAACTGTTTCCAGTCGCGCGACACACTAAGCAGATGCTCCCGATGCAAAGTGCATGGCTACTGCGACGAAGATTGCCAGGTTGGTTGGGTTTGTTCTTCATCGTGAATTCGGGTTGGCGCGAGCATCTGAAGACTGCGAGATTTCTTTCATATTTGAAGAAGCAAGACTGGGACAGGGAGCACAAAACGGAATGTCGCATGCTCCAAGGCGTCGCCGCTTCCATCGAGGCGTCGAACGGATTCAACTCGGAGGAAGAGAGCTGTATGCCTGGGACTTTGCTGTTGGTTGCCAAAATCGCCAACAAAATCAAAGTACGCTACGTTGTTAACTTTCATTGCCTTCTTCAATATTTACCAACCTGCTGATCATTGTAATTTGTAACTGAAATATTCCGACCTTAAAATATTCTACGAAGAATATCCTAAGGACGATAGACATTGCAAATGCCGATAAAGTTATTTCTCTGTTTTTGTGTCAACTAAGCATTAACACTAAGCAGATTTACGACACTAATTATCTTAATAAACAAATTATTAAATTAATACCAATAAAATAATATAATACGTATTTAAAGCAAATTTTTTTTCAGTATTAGGTTAGACTGGCAGATGTACCCTTTTATCAAAGCAAATCGGCAAAATTTTAACAATTATTATTATTACTTAATACCACAATGAATCAATATTGCCTGCCTCGGAATACATACACGTATAAAAAAATTCTAATAGCAACCGAAAAATAGTGCATTTCTTTGCATACCAAAATAATCCCGATAATTAAAAAAAAAACTAACAATTTTAATTTTAATACAGAATTTTTGGTTTTGCTCTTTTCTGAATTTGTTTTTGCAAAAATGAAGTAGATGGCTATCCGCCTAATCGTCTCTCCGTTTTCCAGAGAAATGCTCTGTGTGACCTTCCTGGACGGGGCAGCATGACCGCTCAGCAGGTTCTGGACATGTTCCCTACCAATCCAGCTTCAAATTCGGACGTGTCAATGTGCGTTCAAGATTACAATATTTGTTCTGGTGACGGAGCAACATTTTGTAATTTTATATTTATGATTGTTTTTGCTTCATCTTATTGAATTAATCACGAAATTAATTTTTAATATTTTTACATGCTTCTTTCGTTTGGTTTTTAATCTAATTATTTCTTTGTATTTTGCTGTATTTTTATTCATTTTATTTGTTGTACATCTCAATACAAAATTGACGAAGTGGTTTTCTAGGGGCGGGTGGTCCCTTTTGGGGCAGAAGTTGCAGACACCCGTGCTGACTATGCTGGAGTACTTGAAACTGGTGCGCCATGAAGCCTTCCCTATTCGTGCCGCGGAGGACGTGTGCGTGGGCATCGCCCTCTTCCCCACGGTACGCTATCGGGCTATGACACCGGTGTGCTCGGATGTCAGTGTGACCATGTGTATGACCTGGCGCTCATTGATGGTGTACGCGACGGAGGACATCCCGCATTACTCCGGATTGCAGGATGTAAGTAACCCGCATTGATTTTTTTCCCGGTGAGCATGCGTGAGACGGTGATGCTATAAATGTCAACCAAAGCTGGAGTACATAACATAAACCTAAGCTTAATTAATAAAAACTCTTTGCGACCAGTTGCGTTATGGAATTCAGTGTTTCTTTTATAAACGCTGTTTTGTTTTGGTACAATACATAGTTTGTACTCGTATCATGATACTTATTAAAGGTTTTGTGTTGTTGAAAAAAAACTATATTTAATCAGAAAGTAAACTGCTAAAAATCAAATCAATTGTTAGTGTTACTGTTATTTGTTGTCAGTTAGCATAAAACTCAGTTATTATCAGTAAACATAAAAATCCCTAAATTGAATTAGATGTAAAATAAAAAGTCAACTACTAACAGCAGTAACATTACAGATAGAAGTAACGGTCGGTAGTGCGACCAGCTGCGTTTAAAATATGGAATTATGAGTTTGGAATATTTGGAAAATATTAAAAATCTGAAGACGCGGAAATGCTAAAGTACAGATGTATTAGCCTCACTGGGCGGGGCCAGCTGTTAAAATGTTGAACAATTTTTAAAATTTTTACAATTGTAGAAATTACAATTGTACAATTTACAACTGTACAATTACTGACTGTACAACTGTACAATTTACAACTGTAGAAATTACAACTGTACAATTTTTACAATTGTAGAAAGGGAGGTGTGCCGCGGTAGTGGTACATGGTGCCAAATTCTCTACATGTACGAAAGCTTTCGTCTTCGCGCACCTTCAAACTCGTTTTGCTAGGTTTTCTGACATTCTGTTGCCAAATCATTTATATAGAAGTACGTACATTGCGTGAAAACCGTTCGGACGCGCAACATCCGTTTGCGGAGCTATGGCAGTGATGGAATTCCAAAAATTTAAACGCACAGAGGTGTACCAAAAGTATCATTACAAACAGATGTTCTTACGATTAAGATTTTGCATGAAAACGCACATTACCATGAAGATCGTTCTTCCTCCGAACCTGCTTTCCAGCATGTTTTTGAAATTTTTAATTGAATTTTGAAAATTTCAAAGCCAACTTACAATTTGAAAAAAAATTGTGAAGGCTGGTTCGTTGTGCAAACGATTTTATGATCGTATGCAACTATGCATTTTTATGCACATTTAATGAGGATGAGTTTATGCTGAACCTTTTGGTACACCTTTATGCGTTAAAACTTTGGAAATTTTTCAACACCGAAGGCTCCCCAACCGGATGTTGCGTACACGTTTCACACTCGTCTGTACAAATAATTTGTTAACAGAATGTCATAAACAATGCGAAATGTGTTTAAGAATGTGCGGAAGCGAACCTTTTCGTACATATATGCGGTCACGAATTGGTATTATGCATACCGGGACACTTTCCTTACCTGGTCTAAATGCTGGAGAACTAAACGCTCGGAAAGTTTTTAGACTACAGATATGCAGAATTCCCAAGGCGTGTGCTCATAAATTTTAATTTTTGCCCGAGATTAGCACTTCCTGCTTCCGGGTATCTGTGTGGAAACTTGAGAAGAACTTTGGGGAAAGAACTTTATTAATATTTTCGTATTCTTAGGAAATATTACTACGTAGGTGATCTATGTTTCGGGCAGTATCAAGCGCACAGAAATATTAGTATTTTTTGAAATTTTTGCTGTACAGATACAGAGTACAGTCTCTTCTCGAAAGAAACAGCTGTGAGAATGTTGTTAGTGTGCCTGGATTTCTGAAACTCGCTCGTTCTGTTGGCAGGGAAGAATTCAAGAATGCAATACTTCAGTTTAAATTTTTTATAACTTTAAAAAAAATCTAGAATTAAGAGCGAATTAAGAGGATTTCTTGGAAAAAAGACGTAGCGGTTTATGAATCCGTATTGTAAGTCAATATTACAAAATTTAAAATCAAACTAAAAAATAAAAATGCCACGTGAAACAAAGACATTCGTATCCTTCCGTTGTTTTAGTTGTGCTCTGGTGTTTGCAGTTGCGATGCAATGTGCTGAATTTCCATCCGTTTCTGATGTCGTCGATGCAGCGCCGTGCTTGTTTTCAGCAGAGAAACGGTCAAAGTTGCACATGTCGTAAATGCACACCAGAATATGTAAGAAATGCGGCTGCAACCTGTCATAATATGTTTTGCTAATATTTATGTAGATACAGAAATTGTTCGATTGCGGAATTTGTTTTTGGATTTAGGAAGCGGACATGAATTTAATGTACTGCATTACGCCTGGATGCAGCCAGCGTATTCCAAGCGATCTGCGAGCGTTGAAGCCATGCCCCAAGTGTGGGGCAACTAACAACGCCCAGCTGGTGAAATTTCGCCATTTAATGGACACGTATGACGCCATCTGGCGTGGCGGTCTGGCTCCGGCGGACCAGGTGGAGCCGAAGGGAAAACTTTTCGAAGAAATTGAGGCGGCCGGGGTTCTGTATCCGGACGCCCATTTACGGTATATCTGTGGGTTCCCCGGACATTCCGCGAGGCTCTTCACCGATTTCACCCGGTTCGATGCGGACTGGACGTTGTTACAGGAGATGGTCGCCTGCTTGCGGTAATGGTTAATATTTTACCCACAGTTTTCGGCATTTCAATCGCTTAATCGTTGCAGGAAGGTTCATCCGAAGCTGGACCTGACGCGGGCCACCAATTTGCTGGGAGCCGCATTCGACGTGATGCGGTTCTTGCTGAAGGCCGTCCAGGGCGCGGATCCGACGCAGCCCGCATCTGAATCCGGTCGGGCCGCGGCCCTGATGAGCACGGTACGTCCGGTCGCCAACAGCTGGTACCGAGAAGCCTGCGATATCTACGATAAACTGCTGGGCCCGGGCTCGCATGCCGGACGTTCGGATATCATGCTGGGCATGTTCGAAATGGATGTGTTGTATGGATTGTAGATTGCAAGGAACGGCTACAGGAATACGATGAGCTGTGCCGTTGTGTGATGAATGAGTGCAGTTATTTTTTACTTAAACGCTTCTTTCATTTTCTGACATTTTTCTACGTACTCGTATATGAGACTTAAAGGGCGACGTAATTCTTAGATTTGCGTGACTACAGTGCTTATAGAATTATATGTTATGTACATTTACCTACTGTACACGTAAGTGAAAAGTGTGCAATGTTCAGAAAAGATATTCATATAATATGAATATCTTCATAATAATATTATTATGTACGCACGCAAACACTCTTATTACTGCAATCGCAAGTAAACGAACAGAAATAAAATGCGAACTAATTATGGAAATCGATTGGACAAAAATGATCCTCTTAAGATAAGTTTACTTATTGCGTTACTGGTCACTTTTTATTTTTGTGTGTAGAGAGAATAAAATTTATCTGAGGAAGAAAATTTTTTATATCGCCGATCCGCTAATAAAGTCCGCGTGATCTCCCGACAAGCAGCAGAGTACAGAGTACATCAAATATATCAGGTAGTTGATCCATCGCGGATCCAATATACTCGATCCGCGATCAACGGATGCAAAATAAATTAGACAACTAATAGCGCAAGAACGAGAAAAGTCATGAGTAAAGCTGAATCAAAGAATTTCGCGATAATGCACAACACAAAATATTTCAATAACCACTTGCAACATGAGCGAAGTCATTGTACAGCCATAGTACAGCTTTCTGGAGTTTTTTGGAAGTTTCCGCATGGTACAGTACTGTTGTCCGGTGTATTCCAATACGAATATGGCTCGAATAACAAATCACGCTGACCAACAGGTACGTAGGTACGTATTTGACAATGGTTTCAATGCATTAAAAACTCAATCTGAAAAGGTGGGCGTGCACGATAACTGATAAGTTAGTTAATCGGCTTAAAGAGCTTACGAAGCTGTCGATATTACTATTTAAACGGTCTTGGTACGTGCACTCCAGTTATGACGTCGTTTTCAAGGAGCACCTCCACACTTATTTCATCCGCTGTCAGGGGCTCCATCTGCTCGAAACATTGCATAAGGATTTGTGCATGCGGGGTGATAATAAATTATAATTACCTTAGAGGTCACTGCCAATAATCTGAAAACCTGAAGTTAAGCTTTGTATAACTTCGCAATTTGGCAAATGGGAGTGTGACATTTGATGACGCAAATTTGACGCGCAATATTTTCCCATGGGACATTCGGACGCCGAGGCACTTTGGGTGGGTAATGGGGCATTTCGGGTTGGAACATATGGCTTTGAGATTGTTTCATTTTGCTGATCTCGTACAATTCGTGTCGGAGCTCTCTAGCCGGGCGACGAGTCATAAAAAACTCGACGCGCTCCGTTATTAAAGGTTAGGTTTAGAAATTTCTCAGTTTTTCTATGTTTTTTTTTTGCTGTCTCGAATTTCTTGAGTTGCTTAGATTTCCTAGGTTTTTTATTTTTTCTTACACTTTTTTATATTGTATTTTGTTTTCTTGTGTCTTCTGTTGTTTAATTATGTTTTATTTTGCTTCAATTCATTGCGTTTTACTTTTCTCATGTACGAGGAGGAGTTACCTTGGCCCGATCAAAGGCATATGCACGACCATGAACCGATCACTGTGCACGCTAAGCCACGTGGTTGTGTAACACGGTTGGCCGAACCAGCGATGGCAGCGAACGGGAGTCAGCAGCACGAACATCTGATCATTCAAACTTTTACACCCCGTGCTATAAAGTACCCTTTTTTTAAACTTTCCAACGGATCCAACGAACGTTTGAAAATATTAAGAAAACAGAAACTTTTGGCAGTTTGTTAGGAGATACTCCATTGTAAACCAAGAAGCTTTTGGCGGAATTTTTCGTAAACATAGCACAGGACTTCAGTCAGTTCCAAAAGGCTGCATAGCCTGCATTCATGAAAATCTCACGTGGTTCTCGTGCTAGACATATAAAAATATGTGTATGTACCCTGTTTCCCCCAAGTTTTGGAATATTACTGTAGTTGGCAGGTTTCAAAAAACACACAGGAGAGAGGGTCACTGAGGGTGCTCACTGCTCAGATAGGATAGCAAACGGCTGATTGACCTGGTTCCGTGCTGCCGTCGCTGGGTGGTAAGCCATGTTGCACACACATGGAAGCGGTGATCGGCTTATGGTCGTGCGTATGCCTTTGATCGGGCCAAGGTAGTTCCTCCTCGTACAGCATTCTTGTTCTTTCTCATGTTATCGTTGGCTGTTTTAAGCCTTTTTGTTTCTTGCCTGTTTTATTAACTGTAAGCTTGATCAGCTATTCACCTAAAAGACGAAGTGTCTCGGCGTTCAATCGATCGTGCGACGAAATGTCTGCTACATACTACAGATGTCCTGAGTCTAGTTATCCTCGGCGAAATGTGACGGTGCCCTTTAACCAGGCAATGCTGGTGGCATCACAAAATTTTTCGCTATTTTTTTCCCATTTCCAGGATATAAGTTAAAATAATTACTACTTGTACCATAGAATTCTGTTAGTAGTACCGAGTCGCGTATTAGAAAGCAGCAAGATCAATGCCTATCTATATATACAACATTTCGGATCTTGGCTTTATCTTACGCCAGATAATTTTACACAATTCGTGCATGCAAATACGGAGAACGAACAACAAACAACGTTTACTGTTGACGGGACAGAACAAGAACATTTATCCAGAACTTTGTATTTGTCAATGCGTGAATATTAAATTTTGTTTTTTAGTGGTTTAGGGCCAGCTTCAGTATCGGTGGTCTGTGAAAGTTCTCCATGCAAACAATTGTTTTCATCCGATCCATCAGAACAATCGATACGTCCTTCACACCTGTAAAACAGTTAAAAACGGTTACTTAATATCTGGATACTGTGTAAGGAAATTAATTTTCCTAATTTTTCTACTCGATATTTACGACATCGATCGGTCAATCAATCAATCAATCAAGTAATCAATGAAAACGAAGATCCTCAAAATATTTTATAATTATGTGCAAAAACGGTCCGCGAGGAAAGGTCATTCTAGAACCTCTTTATTTGATGCCTGAGCGGAAAAGGGTCTTCCTGGTTGGTAGTCAGTCCCTTATATTGTTTTCTTACGTTAATGCCGTGTGCAGTACTAGTACTCTACGATTATACCTCACTATTTTCGTTATACGTATAACGCAAAAAGCGAGGTATACTCTGTATAACGACGAAAGTTTACTTTCGTTATATGTTTAATGACTCTTACTTATAATGCTTGCCGACACATTGCACTTGATTATCACATCGAAATTCTTGCGGTGGACACACGTTTGGCAGACAGTTGGTTTCGTCAGAGTTATCCAAGCAGTCGTTCTCTCCATCACATTTCCAGGACATAGGAATGCAACACCCCGATGAACAACTAAACTCGAAATTCTGACAAGTTTTCCTATTGCAGGAATCGTTCTCATCTGATCCATCCTCGCAATCAATATGTCCATCACACTTCCTGGATAGCGGGATGCATCTGTCGCTGCCGCAGCGGAATTCGATTGATGTAGTACATGTGGCAGGGACTACACCGATTACTACGTAAACAAAAGCATGCACATTTTTCCGAATATCATTGCTTATCTTGGAAAATATTTTCACTCCTACCACAGCCAATTTCATCGCTGGAATCATCGCATTCATTGTGCCCGTTGCACCTCCAACGATTGGGAATACACTGCATGCCCGAACTACATTTAAACTGTTCGGACGTACAGGTAGGCGGAGTGCAGTTGACTTCATCACTGTTGTCCATACAATCTGCAGCAGTTTCACCCAGAACACAAAATAAAATGTTAATATGTGTTATTTGTCTATAGAAGTATTCTGTATGCGATAGAAGTTACTCCGTAAAAAAATACTCGTAGTACAGACCAGACGCAGCCTTGATGAGATTAGTGACAGATTACTGCAGTTGCTGCTGATGAGATTAGTGACAGATTACTGCAGCATCTTCCCGATTTACTACTGCTCAGCTGTGCTCCTCAAGTGCCGTCTACATCAAAAAATCCAGCTGGTAAAAGCGTGCAGATTCGAGACTTTAATCAGTGGATGAGAGCGTTTTCAGTGCTGAAAATGTATCGGTGTGCCATATACCCTGAGCTGGATTTACCCATGATGAAGTACGTAGACCACATCGCGCAGATAGCGGCACTGAAAGGAATCACTACTGACCAGTGGCTTGCCTACGACCGGCAGTTCCGGCTAGCTGTGTGTCGCAATCCGAACGATGCAATGCAGTGGTCACGCAGAAACGATGATGCTTATACAGAGTATTTAATGCAACCACTTGGGCATGACGCTGGTCAACCCACAGGCGGTGTAGTGAAAAATACTGTGGTTCAGTGCTATAATTGTTTAGAATTCGGACACATCAGACCTGAATGTCCGACATTGCACAACAGCACCAGCAACCGTCGTTCTTCATGGGTTGGGCAGTCGTTTCTCAGCCTCCGCGCTGGTAGCGGGGGAGCAAAAGTTGACGAAGTGTGCCACCTCTGGAATAAAGGTCACTGCACTGCCGGTTTGTTCTGCCGATACGGTCGTCAGCACCGGTGCGCCAACTGTGGCCAACGGGAACACCGCGATTTCCAGTGCAAATCAAAAGCAAGCAACAGTGCCCAGTAATATCATCACACCGTTAAAAGCTGAAGCTTTTGCAAGCCACCTCATCGAACACCCAGATCAGGAGTATGTCACATATGTACTGCACATATTACGACACGGAGCAGATATCGGCTATCGTGGCCCTAATCGAAGCTTGTCCACGCCTAATGCTGCATCTGCACGCATGTATTCGGAGCACTTACAATCGCAGATTAATACAGAGATATCCTTATTGCATTCAGTGGGTCCATTTATCAGTCCGCCATTCCCTGTCTTCATCGTTAACTCGTTAGGTGTACGGCCAAAGCCGGACGGCAAATTCCGTATATTAATGGACATGTCTCGGCCGGCAGGTGAAAGTGTTAATGACTACATCAGCAAGGACGACTATTCTCTTGCGTTCTGCACTGTGGATGATGCGGTACGCATGCTTATAAAGCTGGGAGTAGGCGCGTTCATGGCAAAGTTCGATCTTCAGCATGCTTTTCGACTTGTCCCCGTCAGACCTGCTGACTGGCACTTATTGGGTTATATGTGCAATGGTTATTACTATTTCGATATTGTCCTTCCTTTCGGTTCTCGTTCTTCACCGTTTATATTCTGTCTAATCTCAGATGCAGTACACTGGATTTTTGTGAATGTCAGCGGCCATATCTTTATGCTGCACTACGTTGATGATTTCTTTATAGCAACACTACCTAATAAGCAACTCTGCTCCACGCTTATGATTAAATTTACTGAATTGTGCACAGCGCTTGGTGTCCCTCTGGCTACTAAAAAAACCGAAGGCCCGTCTACCACTTTAAAATTTCTCGGAATTCTACTTGATTCCGCTGCCCAAACACTTAGTTTACCGCATGGAAAACTGAATGAAATCATTGCTCTTCTTAACATGTGGAAGTCTAAAACCGCATGCAACCGTACAGAGCTGCAAAGCTTAATAGGCTCTCTTATGTTCGCCTCCAAATGTGTACCCGTTGGTCGCCTGTTTACAAGACGGCTTATTTCGCAATTGTCATTGGTCAAGAGTGCAACTCAGAACGAAGTAAAGCTCGACGAAGATTTCCAGCGCGATGTTGACTGGTGGCTCGAATTCCTCCCGAAATGGAACGGTACAGCAAAATTTCTCGAACCTGATTGGACTCGCTGTGATGCGATCCAGTTGTACACTGATGCGTCTGCTACCATCGGTTGCGCCGGCTATTTCAGTGGAGCATGGTTTCAGATACGCTGGCCAGCCTTTATACTTAATGCACAGCTGTCAATCGAGTGCCTAGAGATGATCCCTATACTTGTCGCTTTAACATTGTGGGGACCACAGCTAAGCGGTCGGAAAGTAATTTTCCACTGCGATAATCTCGGCGCCTCGCAAGCTTGGGAAAACTACAAATCTCGCTGCAAAGTTGTCCTCGAAATAATGCGGCGCATGGTGGCCATCGCAGCTCGGCTTAATTTTACAATCACCATTAAGCACATATCCGGTATCAACAATAGCATTGCTGACTCTCTATCCCGGTTTCAGATGAAGCGATTTACCAGCCTAGCGCCGATCGCAGATCTAAATCCGCTGTTGGTGCCGGAAAACGTGTTAATCGATCTGTACAATTATCATCTGCTACATCTTTAGCTTGTCTTGACAGAACGGCTGAAAGTTTACGGTATCATCATATTGCACCTTCTTCTAGGAAAACTTATCGAAGTGGCATAAATAAATTTTCTGAGTTTTGCCAGCTGTTTCGGTTATCTCCGTTGAACATTACAGAGGACGTAGTAGTACGGTATATTGCATTCCTTTTTAACTGTGGTATTTCTTATTCGTCAGTTAAAGTTTATTTATCCGCGCTTTACAATTCACTCAAAGAAAACGGTTCATCTATCGACTTTAGTGCACCAAATATTTCACAATGCCTCACCGGTTTTAAGCGTTTACGAGGCACTGCTGCTGATAGCAGATTGCCAATTACCATCGATCACATGCGCATCATCAAACTTAATATTGATCGGTCAACTGTTTTATCATCCTTCGAAAAACAATTATACTGGTGCATGTATACCTTGTGTTTTTTCGGATTTTTACGCATTGGTGAGGTTGTACCGTCACTTGGTGGTCATTCTCTGCGTTTAGTGGATATATCATATCAGAATTCGAAGCTCACTATTAACCTTCGTTCATCTAAATCTGACCAGTTTCGGGACGGATGTCGGATCTATTTGTCGGCAACTGATCGGTCAGTCTGTCCTGTACGGGCGATGCGAAAATACTTAGCACTGCGGAGTAGTCTAAGAATTTCGCACACAGCCCTGTTTGTCACCTCCGACGGTTCACCTGTTACGAGATCTGCTTTCGCTCGCGTATTACTTTTAGCAACGCACGGAATTCCCAACAGTCACCTTTATACTCCGCACAGTTTCAGAATAAGTGCTGCCTCTTGCGCTGCAGCCAATGGTGCGCCATTCCAAGATATTAAGCATGCCGGGCGCTGGAGATCTGATGCCTATACGACATACATCAGGAAGGACGTGCCGTTGGCCGGTATACCGCTATACCCACAAGCTTAATTTGGGGCCGTTGTTTGGGGAGGTTCGGCTTGCAAGGGATCGGTCTGATAGCCAGCACCCGCACACCTGATCGTGGGCATTCGGGGCTGCTATACAGAAAGGTTGAGCTACGGATCTAGGTTGAGCTATTATGCTACAGATGTCATTACTGGAAATCGCAGAAATGATAGTTAAGAATTCTGAATGATCTGCCGCAATCAGAGCATCATAGATGTAGCGTCATGAAAATTTGATTGAGTAACGGTGCCTAGCAAAACCGTACCGTTTTCACCATCACAAACCCATCGGCGAGTAAAACACCGACCGTTTGCGCATGCAAAATCGCTAACCGACGGACACTGTTCTATAACTGTCTTCGGTTTGTTCTGAGCACAAGTCTTTCCATCTGTTCCTGCACAGACGGGACAATGGCGCTCGTCCAATCCGTCAGGACAATCGACAACACCATCACATTTGCGCTCAAAGTCCACACAGTTACCGTTAAAGTATCGTATTTTCCCTGTAAAATATATACATGCAGTTTGCAATAAACCTATCGCAAGCATCAAGGAAAAACCAGTTTTCTGTGCTCGAAGACCGGTATCGCCGACAACTGTGCAGTTCATAAAAGACCACTACATACCTCGACCGCATTCTGAAAACCGGCAGTTCTCTTCGTCGCTGCCGTCACCACAATCATCATGTTGGTTGCACACAGCGCTGTAATCGATGCAACGACCCCCTGATTTACAAAGGGTTTGTCCCTGATGACAAGATGTGCTATCTGCGAACAAATCAATTTGACACTGCTTTATTCTCGATTGAGAAATTTATTTATTTACTCCAGAACCTCACTGCATCCGCTTTCATCAGAATTGTCCCTGGAAAGATATGAGTCAATATTTAGGTAAATGCGTCCCAACTCCCAAGGCTGAGTAATGTTATCAGTGTTAAAATTACAGTAAACGTTGTGTATTCAGTAATGGTATTATTAGCGGCAGTCATTTACACCGTCGCATCGTTTTTCTTTGGTTAAGCAGTAGGCTGAGTTCCAGGAATATGTTTTGCAAGAAAACTCGGAAGACCTGCACTGGGGCGGAGCTAGAATGCAAGATAATCTAGCAATTATAGTTGCATTAAATAAAGCATCGTGTGAAAACGTTGCGACTGAAAAATTTGCACATACGACAGTTCTGGTTTTCATCTTCCCTTGCGGACAATCTGGATTATAATCACATTTCCAGTTTTCCGGAAGGTATTGTCCATTGGAGCAACGGAAATAATTGCCTGGGCATGGCCGGAAATCTGCTCGTTAAACAATAGAAAGTAGAGCTAAATATCAGCAACGACAAACCGAGAAGAATTTTCTGCAGAGGCAGCTTTTTCCCGACTGGTGCAGCCACAGATGTCTTAACTCTTACCACACTGGGCTTCGTCAGAACCGTCAGCGCAGTCTTTTGCGCCGTCACACGCAAAATAAAGGGGGACACACTTTCCGCTGGTGGCACAGGTGAATACTGGGGAACTGTATAAGCAAGGCCCTACGAAATACGTAACTTTTTATATAAATAAAACTGCCATGGCGGTACATGTTTTCTGTTGTATTTTAACGTCATCGAGGGTGTAAAATTATGGAAAATTAAAGCAAGCGCAGTGCAGCGAGTATCGTAGGCTTACTCTCCGTTACAGGACTGGCCAATGCCCCCGCATAGCCAAGGAGCAAAAGTCCAGAGTGAAACATAGCGAACACTCGCATAATTATTATCAGCAGCTCCTTTTGTGCACCTAATCTGAAATGATTTAAGTAAAGGATTTCGATACTGTTACTTAAATTTACTTTCGAAGAAAATTGAGCGCTTTCCCCGGTGTTGGCGATAAATATCAAATTAGCGGATTGAATAGATTCTGTTGCCGCCAGCCGAAAAGTGTGTGCAGTCTTCCTTCGAGCAATACATGGTGCCTTCATTGCTCATCCTGCGGCGTGTATTTTTTATATCCGCTTGTCGACAGTATCAGAGGCGGTGTTTTTTTCGGAAATCTGTAAAAGCATTGAAGAAGAAGCCGGCAGACCTGTTTAGCTTTGTACGGGTCTTATTAAATTACAGCCTAAATGACTGCGCACGCGTCGGCCGGCAACCGGGTGAATGCCTGCCCAAGTTTTTGAGTCATCGTCGCGTGGCGTCTGACTGCGGTGTATTTCCTTTCAGACTGCGCTGCTGCGTTATATTTTACCAATAAAATTAAAAGCTACGCAGCGTGGCAGTACTGAGTACCACTACTGCCGTTCTTATTTATAAGAAGACATGAAATATACATATAAAGATGTTACCATACAAAGTACCATAAAAACCATCGGTTTAGTTCCCTGTTACAAAGAATCCGGCTGCGTGAGCTAAGGTAAGCACAGAATCAGATACGATCGTCAATGGATGAACGAAGTACTGTACATTCGGAATAAAAGCAAAAGTTCCATCATGCTGATATGAAACCATATTCTTGTTGAAAACATGGAAGGAAAACAACGGTTGACAACGCATAAACTCTATGTACAAAAGGTATGAAGTTGACACGACAATACAAATTTAACTCAACCCGTATTTGGCCCGAAGTAAGTCTTACAATTGCGACGAATGTAATCGTGCTTGCTTGCGAATGTAATACTTGCTGGTACCAGCGGTAACTGCAGACGAGGCGTTGAAATTTTTAAAAAAACGGTCCTGCTACATACTCGAATTGTTTTGGTAGGCTAAAATTAATATCTAAAGGTTATTAAACACAGAAAATTGTGCAGCGTACATATTTCGTATTCTGAAATTCTGAAATATCCTCAGCCAGATATTAACCCCTATTACGTATAAAGTAACCATTTGCAACTTAACACGCATATTTCAAAATCAAATACCGTAGTCCCTTTCAGTTTTCAAGCGTTTGTGGTAGCAGCGATACAGTAAAACGATCCGTTGGAGCTGGCGGCAAAATTTGATACAGTATAATGAATATATTGTCATCACAGCAGGCAGGTTAACTGCTTTCCGCTTCTCGCTTGTGCAATTTATTAGCGCATCATTGATCGACATGCATGTCAGTCCAAGCGGATCTGGAGCATGATATGCTGTTTTCCATGAATAAAACTTGCTAATGTTTTCCAAAGGCCGCTCCTAAACTGTTTCGAAAACCTACCCGTTGTAGTACCGAATACTGGTGATTTATTACGTACTGGCATAAATGGAGCACCGAAAAAACTTTTCTGACAAACCAGCTCGCTGTATTCAACTGCTTCTACTGTGTTTCTTTATCGTGGCGCACGCATGTGGCTATTTTCGCAGTCCCTTCAAAAGCATCTATACAGACTGTACTGGCCGCATACCAAACAGCGTAATCACCTGCATTTTGTTCTCATACCTAGTGCTTCAAGTGGTAGCTGACAGAGTTTACATCCGTGTATTTAATCGTGACCTGGGTTCCTATCAGAGTGTGAGAACTGTTATTCTCCTTCCGAATTTACTTGATTCCACCGTTAACGATCGTCTACGTGGGGCTGATGTGGCGTCTTCACGGTTGCCTGATACGCTTTTCCGACGAATTACGGCTGACCTTTTTACATTGTATCAGTTCTGGGGATGCGATGTTCCTAGTCCTCTTAAGCATCCTCCTGCTTGCTCTGTTTCCGGTGTATGCCACAGTGACGTTATACGGAAGTGACAAAATGGAAGTTAAAGCTGCGCTCCTTGCTTTTTTACAGTAATGCAACTTATACCAACACCGTGGATATAATGTGGCTCTTGAACAATCTTTCGCCTGCTGGTTGTCAAGCAGTGGGGATTATACATTGTATCAGCTACTTTGCGCGAAAGAACATCCAGTGTTTTGTTATCATTTTTGCCTGGACTGTTTGGATAATTTATAAGAAAATCAGTACCGACTTTCCCTAGTGGTGGAAAACCGTAAACGGGACGGATATGAACAGCTCGAGCGTCTGTTGCGACAACATAAAGCCCTGTGTGATGTGGTGGTCGAGTACGATCACTCCTGTCGCTGGATCAATTTTTTTTGGCGTATCTGGAAATTTTGTCCATCCTGCTCATATACATGTATGAATTATGTAAGGATTATGTAGCGCATGATCGAGCGGAAATGAGTGATACAATGCACGTCGCTGCCGCATGGGTTCTGCTGATGTTCCAGACATGTGTTTCAACGTTTCTCTAGGAAAAGGTATTGATTTGAATCACTTTAATTCTGCTAGTTACTTAGTCCCAGTGAAGTGGCAACCCTTCAGTGTGGTTTCTGCTTTCACAAAGATGAATTCATGTAGCTGTTACGTAACATCGCTAGCTTGGAAGCTATGCCGAAACAGCGGAAAAGGCAGCTAAAATCATACGTACGGGAAATGGAGCTAAGAGTCTCTGTATAGGTAAGTAACCGTATTTACCTGGCGTAGGCACCTGCAGTCCCACAGAAAGGTTAGAGATCCAGCAGCAAGGCTAACGCAACAAAGGTGCCGCGGGAGAAAGGTTTATGCAGTTTGGCAAGAAGGTTTACCTTTCTGCCGAATTCCGGTAGGAAGCGCGGCTATTTTTATCGTAAACCAGTAATTCATACATCTTTCTGCCGGCCAGATGCGCGTGCTTTGTAATGGGCGGAAGTTAATAATTATCCCGATAATAAAATAATAGCCATGAACCGCAGGATAAACGAGACATGAAAGAGTTGACTCCGCCACGGAAGCAAATTCAGTGAACTTTTAACAGCTTTTGTAACACGAAAATCGAATCATGTTAAGTGTACATTTTCTGATTTTATGATGCTTATTCATTGCTGAAGCAACCGAAGAGGCGAGAACGGCTGCTATGACGCTTCTTTATTGCAGACTAGAGTCGAAACAATAAACCGGGATAATCAGTTCCGTCATTATGTTATGCAAGTTTTGCTGTACCTATTTGCAATGAAAACATACTCGTGCCAGAGACGCCCGCTAAATCATAAGTTGACATATGCTGGTATGGAGCAGCTGATAGGTCTCCTTGATAGTAACAACGGCCCTCGTGCCACACGCGACGGTCATTTGGGATATGTAAGCGAGATCGCTTAGGCGCGCCAAAATTCGTTGAATAGTACTGCAGTGCAAACAGATTGTAAAATATAATTAGGGCTGCACTGTATTCGTTGCGCACGTACATGCAAGTGTGGTCTTTCGCCTCCGCAGCAGTGGTTATGTTGAATTCGTAGACGGAGACACCAGACATCCATTGTAACCCAACCGATCGTAGTTTCCATTCGCAGTAACCAGTGGCCTGTAGGAAGCGGAGAGGCGTTGTTGACAGGTCGCACAGTTTTGCCAGAGCCAGGAAGGATGCACTGTACTGCCATAAGTACTTCTCGGACATCCACTTGATCCTCCCATCATTTGGGCATCGACTTATAAAGTCTATCAAACGCTGCGCCGCCATGCTTGAGTTACTGAAATTTTCATGGCATTGATAACATGCTTTGTAAAACCGGGTTTATTACGTATTAAAAAAAACCAACCTAAAGAAAACAAGCCTTATTTTTTTAAATTACAGACTCATATGTTGATAATAGAATCGTAAACTGTTATTCCGCTTCACAAGAACACGTTTCTCAACACCCTCTAAAAACTTGTACACCGCTGAGTAGCTGACCGCTTTAAAGCAACGTGTGATTGCGCACTTTGCATAAATTTTACAGAGTCACTCGGTAAGTTATAAGTGATATAAGAAACACATTGATTACCAATTTACCGACAAGTGTCAGCAGCCAGATACGAGTTATCCCGTTCCAGCTCATCGGTTTGAGGCCAGTCTAACTCGATGATCGTATTATGAGCACCAGCGACCGCATTATTATTAGCCGCAAACTGCGCATGCAGTTGATCACAGATCGAGTCGCACATGGCACCAGCTGAAGCCAGCAGAAGCCATGCTGCCAACCCGATTGCCCTTGTTCCCAGGAGACTGCTGAATACAGCTGACCGCGGCATGGCGTATTGGCTGTCGTGTAATTTTTTACTATTCCAACGATTCTTCCGTTAAAAACTCAATACGTCGAGTCGCATGAAATAATATTTCTTACTTGCTTCGTGCGACGTGGCAGTGAATCTAGTAATCTACAGCTGGAAGTTCGAGAACGATGGTCCAAGGCTAAGGCACCGACAGAGATTACAATCGTACCAACAGAAAGTGGTAGACAAGCTGTAAGAAGACCTTTTATCTGCTATTAAAGTCAAATCAAGCTGCATAAGTTTTTAGCGCAGATTTTCAAAGATACGAGTACAAACAGCCACTGGCTGCGGTGGAACGTACTGTAAGGACTGCATACACAAAACTGCAAACAATACGATTATATCTACAGTGTACAGTTAAGGTTAAGCTAGTTGGAAGTTGGAACTATCTGGTACTAACTGATATTCGTATAGCAAAATTATTTTCTTTGAATCAACTGCGCGTTCTATACTGGTACAAACCGTATAATAACTTGGCTGCAATATATGTTTCTTCTCAGTCTGTAATGTAGACGCGTTTGTGAAAAAAAAATACTTAACATATCATAACATATGTGGGCATAAGTTATCGAGGGCATAGACCTATATTATGATCGGTCGCCCCGTGGAACTTGGCTAGAAAAAAAAACGCTAAACATATTAAAAAACCGATTTCACCATTAAACTAAGCATGTTCCAAAAGGGTACCACATGCATTGTGTTTCAAAAATATCCGCCCTGGGACTATCGCTCGGATGCTGGTACCGGCACAGGCATCAGTTCAAGGTGACCTTAAAAGACCTTTTACATGAAACACTGTTGCGTGGAGCAGCTAATATCCAAATACAGAGTACGTAGTGCAATAAAAAAAAACTGAATATTTTCTTTAAATAATCAAAACAAAATTCTACAAAATGCACAATGCGCTTCTACAAGATGCTCTAAAACGGAGAGATTGCTAACAATACCGTTGCCGGTCTCCATATGAGTGGTGAAATCTGCATTTGCAGATGGCGGCCGGGATTCTCGGCTATATCATTTTATTTTCGGAAATGGGTGAACAGAACATCAGTCCCATTTGTATGGAATTCGCGGCTGGAGCGATTCCAAATAAGCAAAAATGCTGCACCACATTTACCAACAAAACTAAAGCTTTTATGTTACGATAGTGCGGTCCTGATTTCATGCAACCATCGCTTTATTATGGAGGCATCTACTGATTTTGATGTGGTTGTTGCTCCTGTAAATCTACAGCATCTGTAAATACGTGTTGGGATGTGTTAATTTATAACTGCAAAATACCACCATGTTTGCCAGTACGTGCTTTTTACAACAGCCTAGAATAATATAGTTTCGAAGTTTAGCCATGAATAAATGAATTAGTACACATTTGCACCAGTCCCGTGTTTTCAATTCCAGCACTTTGTTAGACTTTTCCAATACTTTACTAGCATTATGCCCTATCGGCAATGTAAATGAGTTTGGCAGTTCCTCTGTTTCTTGGGGTAGTATTCTCGCCTCAAAGCTCCGAAGATATAATCACATAATCAAAAATTCCGGCAGCTATTTGCAGTTGCAGTGGTTTACGATCTAGAGGGTCCTTTTACCGCTCCGCATAACGCATTAATGCAACATTCGCAAATCACATGACTTCCGGCAGCGCAGTATCAAATTTTAGTGTTTACATTCTTCAACTCCATCCGACGGACGTGTCGTCAAAGTTGTTCATCTTGTTATGGCTCCTTTTCCGGCACTGCCACCATGCTGGTCGATACAGCGCAACACCTTCTTGAAGTCCAGCTTCTGCGAATAAAGGAAACAAAAAATACTTTTTGGTTTTTTTTAATATTTTGTAATAAATTCTAATGCCAGGATCGAACCTTTTCTGCCAGGATCGACCGCCGGCTGGATACAAAAATTAGAACAAACAATTCAAAGTTGTAAAGCAAAATAGTACGAAGTTCAGTTTAACCCTCCAACGCCCACTACCCGAAGGGGTGGGAGTTTCTTCTTGAAAACCAGGATTTCCCAATAAAAAAATTCAATTAAGAAAGGGAATTTTCTGTGTGCTTGTGCTGACCATAGGTCACCGGCGGTGACATGGGTGTTTAGCAACACCATTGGGCGTAGACGGTCCTAATCATAAAACGCATAATTCTATAATAATTCGGCAAGCAAGAACTGACAGAAATAAAAACGTTCATCGTATAGTACATAAAAATTACTTCAAAACCAGGGTATTCCAATGGTCAGTAAAGTGACCACTGGTCAGCAAAAACCGAAAGTGAAAGAAACGGTTTTTGCATGATTCAGTGATTGATAGATAACCGGACACAAAAATAGCGAATTTCAACAACCTTTTTTAAAATTATTATTCTTTACGCTTCGCAAGACTTTACGCGACAGCCTTCCTATAAGTATTCTGCCGAGTTGCGTTACACTGTTTGCATGATCAACGCTTGCACAGTTCATGAATGTTGCCACTGCCTTTGCATGGCTGCAGGTGCAGTAGTGATGCGACTACGCTCGCACTAAAAGTTCTGGAATGCAGCGTCCAAAACCATGAACGCAACATTAGCGGAAGTCAGTTATACACCTTCCGCTAAGGTCACCACCGGCTATACGCTTATTGTAATAGCGATTATATTCACGGCTGCAGGATGCTGATGTGCTATTTTCTTTGTACCCCTCCACCGTGCGCTGTTCCAGTTGGTGTAAAGGCCAACGGCAGGGTTGTTACACCGATGCGCTGTGATACGACATAGCTATACTACAGAGTAGATTACGAAAAATGGCTTCCACGCACAAGTAACTTAAAGGTTTCGTTGCCCGGAAACGAATTCCATTCGTTTGTTTGAGGGCGATAGCCGACCGCCCAGGGTGCCGCTCAACTAAATCTTTTTTGGAAGAGTTCCGGTAAGCAGAACCACATGGTGAAAGTTATAAGTTCGAAGCGACAGGCCCTTATTCGATTAACATGTTAAAACCATGTGTCGAATATGCGCCCGCCTGTACTTTAGGACCATACATGCCCAATGGTGTGTGCGCGCAACACGAGTTTTTGATGGACTATGGCTATCTATTGTTTAACTTTCAGGACCCATGCTTAACATTTCTTAGTAAAGCATCACTGATTGTACTCTACTGAATTACTTCAGAATAACTGTCTCAGGTACTAATTAGTTAATTAGCAGGACCTTCGGGAGGTCAGAAAGTTCGAAATTCGCGACTTTCCCGAGCTCGTGGTTCTTGAGTAACTTAAGATACAAGTATGGCTTGTTTTTTTATTGCTACGGTGAAGTCCTGTAATGCTGATTACGCTATGACATATCGATTAATTGCTATGGGTAACTGAGAGAAACATTCTGAAGAGCATGTTGCGCCCTAACACCAATGGTCGTCAGCGGGTTAATTTAATTCCATGGTGTGGGCAAAAATGATCAGTATTAGCATCGAACATAATTACCTTCAAGAAATACGAGCGAGTGCACCACTTGAGCTCACATAATTTTGGATAAGTTCTTTTTCTCACTTGATGCAATACAGTTGCGTGTGTTAATTAAAGGCCGCATTATGCATATAGATCATAACCAACGTGCTTTTATTACATTGCAAATGTTTTTGAGATGCATGAATGTCACCAGCTGCGGCATGTCGGCTTATCAAATAATTATTTCCTATGAGCAGTGAGTAGTACGCCCGTCCAAACGAATACAAACAAAAATAAAGTCATGCGCATTTTCGAGGCGCGGACTTTTGACGGAAACCGGAAGGTAATCGGATGTGTATGTGCGTCTTTTGTTTGGTACAAAGTGTTTGAAGCAATCATTTTGAGTTCTAAGCTAGTAATTCTGATCGCTGCTATCGAAGTGCGATTAAATCAAGAATACCAAAAAATTTGCTATAAAAGCGTTAGTCAAGCAATTTAAAAGTTTGCTCTCTTTAGTTCTAACGAATAACAACTCATTCTGCAACTTTGTGCTCTTTTGTCAAAGTGTTCATATAGTCGTTGGATACAATGTCTTCCATGTGCGGCATCTTTATGTTTTTAGCAGGTGCATCGGCTAATATTGTAACAGATAGTAAGTACCCAGACACTTGGTTCCACGGAATGCTGCTTTAACGAATATCTTTCTCGTTGACATTTGTTTGACTGGCGGGAATATATTGACGCCGACATACTCGCCAGAAATGGCAATATCCATCAGCCGCAATCGCCATGTGATGGTGACTTACTGGAAGGGGAAATTCGTGGCACTGACCTTCGAGTAAGAATACTACGATCAGTATAACGTGTTAACTATCGGTGACCACACATTAATATGAACACTGTAATCGCATTAATTTTCTATCCTGTTAGTCTCTACACAGATGATGACAGAAGCAGTGATATTGCTGCTCCACAAAGATTTAACAGTGATAAATCTTTGTGGAGCAGCAATACAGTACCTTACGAGTTCACAAAGAAGTCCTGGGCAATGCTTGGTATGTATGTAAATGCAGAACATCAAAGGGATGTTATCATTTTAAGGTATTTTATTCACGCCTGTTTAGATTCCTAGGAAATCTTCATGACGCTACAGTCCATGAATATAATCAGCCACCTAACCGGAAACTGTGTTCGTTTTGTTCAACGTACAGCGGAGAAGGATTATGTGATGTTCGAAAAACGATCAACGTACGTCTTTTGTCATGCGATCAGCACCAGGTCAAGCTGATTACGCAGATGACGCAATAGACGCCATGGCTAAGAGCTCGTTGTCTGATAGGTGTTCGTCCAGCATTGGGCGCGTGGGTGGACGACAGTTCATAGCACTGGCTGCTGGTTGCCTTCAAAATCATGTTGGGATTCTACATCAATTATTACACACGCTGGGATTTTTCCACGAACACTCGCGCCCGGATCGCGACCGCTTCGTCGTTATCAACACGGCTAACATTGCAGATGGTACAGACGTTATCGACAATACAACCACTCTGGATGTCACCATTTATTAATCCCAGGTCACGCTAGTCTGCAGGTGATTTAAACCATTTTGCCAAGTACGACGCGGAGAGCTCTTACGGATTACCGTACGATGTGGAATCGATTATGCATTAGCCATATAATGCTTTTGCAGTCAACACCAGTCTGCCCACTATCATTCCCCGAACAAAGAATTCCAGAATAGGTCAAACGGCCGGATTGAGTCCTCTGGATGTTGTGCGGAT